CAACCAAGTTTGTCTTGCGAATGTAACTTGCCATATCCTTATGGAACGCCATATTGCTTTCCCCACTTCCTCTAATCTCGCAGACTAACATGCTTGACACCGTGAAGACTAGTCTTGCGTTGTAGAGCGTCTACGGTGAAATGCCACCTCAGCCAACCTAGTATTACTGTTCACACTACAGTAACTGCCGATGCCTGTTTGATCAATTATTAGCCCCTTTCAGAGCCTCAAAAATTCAACCTAAGCCCGAAAGCCCGGCTGATAACATCAGTCTTACGACCGGTTATTTGGTGTTGGCAATCTCGCACTCAGCTCAACTTCATTGTACGAGTCGCTTCCCCACCACAAGGTTGGTTGATGGTGTGTGTATCTAACATTGACCCTATAAATTTGGTCTACCATCCCACAAAGCAACTGTTTGCAAATTTTCCTTGTAATTCGACAACGTTGGTTATACAATGAGGATGATATGTGTTGTGTTAGGTACCGTGGTCGAATTGAGATTTAACGTGATTATGGTGTATAAAATAATAATAATGAAATTAAAACAAGAAAGTTTGTGACATCTGTTTATGCTACTTATATTAGTTATCAGCGTCCACTTACTGGATTTTGATAAAAATCAGTGTGAGTGACTTGGTAGTTGTAATATGATTAATTTATGGACGACTTGACATCTGATAAGGGCATACTGAATTTTAAGATTATAAAAGCAACATTTTGATATTTTATGCTGTCAAAGTGCCAATGAAAGCTAATTATTTAATTTACGAGTTTGATCACGTATTGATATCAGTTAGAGAACCATTGAAAATCAGCGGGAGTACTGGACAGCTGCTGGTTCATCCTAGTTTTGTAATCATCGGCCGTATGTACCCAATGGAGTTCGAACCGAGGACCTTCTGGCTACAAGGCGAGCTCGTAGACCATTAAGCCACTGGGACCCGATTCAATAGTCAGTCCATGAATTCTAACTTCTACCAATTCGTGATTTAGCGCGACTGGCACCAACCAATTTCATCGGTGAGAAATTCATCCTCACACTTGACTTGATGGACCTCACTGGTCACGACTTCTCACTAGAACTCCGGGAGACTCCGTTCTGTAGCCAAGTCAGTCACTAGGGAGCATCAGATTAATTTTGAAGATTTGGTTTGTAAGGATTAGATTTGTTTCAAACGAGTTTGACCCCAGATTGAATTGACATCGGTGTAGTACGTTTATGCAGTGTCCATTTTTTTATTTTGATGTCTAATATCTCAAAATCACTCAGAATGTAGTTCGAAATCACAATGAAAGTAAAGTGACTTCTAAAAGGCTTTATTTTTACACTTACCTTAAATCATACAGACGTGAGGATAAGTAGAGATTAAGATCGACAAGAAAACGTTTTCCGAAGTTAGCCACCTGAATCAACAATGTTTTGGTACATGGAATGATTGGTTAGTCAGTCACTCAGCCAGTCATCGATACTGTGAATAGTGCCTCAGTGCAAGCACTTTTACTCGCACACTCAGTGAATTGGAGTTACATCGTCCAAATGCATCTTGAATAACTTAAATATTACTTTGATTAGTGACTACAAAGTAACCAACATTATGCGTTTAGTCTCCGATGTTGATGCAGATTTATATATGTAGTTCAGGTTTTCAAAATTTAGGGTTATACGTTTTATACTGGTTGAATTCGAATGGTTTATAATATTAACAATATTTTTCTGTAACACTGGGTAACATGAGTTGGAATCTTGGAGGTGAAATCTGTTCCTTCATGGTTGCAGAGATGCCTTGATTATTGGTGCGGAGAAATGTGAATCCGATGTCAAGGGCTCGTCGCCAGTCTTCTCCAACGATCTAGGAATTTAAATATTATTGTTGTGATTATTAGAGAGGACAGATTTTGGGAAAATAAGCATATTTTTTTACTAGTTTTTCGTTAAACTTTCCAATTTTCAAGTATTAGTTTTAAGGGATTTTTTCTTACTGGTTGGAAGATTTCATCATGATCTGACATCGCCTTGTAACCAGAAGATCCTTGGTGTGTACTGATGAAGAGTCCCAAACTAAGATGAAAGATCTTTCAAGTACTCCTGCAGGTTTTCCAATAATTCTCTAACTGATGTCATCAGTTCATGATCTTGGACATTTAAGAACAATGTGATCAACAGAATTAAAGTACGATTGTATGTATATAAATTAGAGTGAGTTCTGAGTTCCCTTGAGTTCCGAGTGGAGCATATGGCTTTATAAGCTCATCTCCTTTTAACTTTGTTCTCTTCAGTGTTTTTTAGCTGTCTGTACAACTACTGATAAGCTTTGATTTCCCGTTCACATGATCTCCTCCAAGTCTTCCTTGGACGCCCAGGTCATCGTTTCTCATTCGAGTTTCAAACGGACAGTCTGACCTAGCTTGCTAAGTCACTAGTTCTACTGGTGGGTCTATGCAGATGACATAGTTCTGTTAGGGGAGGATGCTGACAAAATCCAGCGGAGTCTTCTGAACACCTTGAGCAGCAATCTTCGTATGTTTGGCATGCGATTCGCCCCTGCAAAATGTAAGATGCAGCTACAGGACTGGACTACGTCAACTCCTAGCTTAGTGATAGGGAGTGAAGTGATAGAACATGTTGACCACTTCACCTATTTGGGAAGTTGTATTAGCACCAACGGACTGATTGGCGACGAAATCTCAGCACGGATCCGAAAAGCTCGAGCTGCTTTCGCTGACTTACACCGTCTCTGGCGTAGATGTGACATCCGGTTATCAACCAAGGGACGTGTGTACTGCTCAGCAGTTCGCTCCGTCCTTCTCTATGGCTCTGAAACATGGCCAATATGAGTTGAAGACATGAAAAGGTTGACTGCTTTCGATCGTAGATGTCTGCGATCTCTTTCTCAATTTAGGTGGTTTAATAAGGTAAGTAATATTGAGGTTAGGCGTAGAGTGTTGGGCAAAGAGGGAGAATCAATCGACGAGGCTATAAAGTTACACAGATTGAGATGGCTAGGTCAGGTGATGCGCATGCCTAACCATCGCCTCCCCGACGGGCATTACTAGCTGATACAGGTGCAGGCTGGAAAAGACTAAGTGGTGGCCAAAAAAAACATGGCATCAATCCATGAAATAAATCCTTGACAATTAAGCTAAGTCAGGTAAGGAGATGCAGACTTCCGGGTTGGGGCCCTCAGGACTCTAGGAATCAAAATCGTTGTCAATGGCCAGCGCAGATGTATTCAGTCTCTGTAATCTTTCATATTTCTTCCTACCATTACCCATTCTGTTTCGCTCTTATACCTGTCAAACGCTATTGATTCTCTTCAGTCATCTTCTTGTCTACCATTGTGTGCTATTTGGAACGTGGTAACTGCAACTGCTGCACTTCGGTGCCAAGTTCTATGTTGAATCCAGATAGACAGACAGACAGACTGGTCGGTCTTAAACCGCGAAAATGAGGAAAACTTTGGCTTGGCGACTGGTAACCCTTTTCTGGAAAATTAATTCAACCTCTAGCGAAGTTTGAAAGTAGAGTTTATCGAACAGAGAGCAGTAACCCAGCTGATCATCATAAAAATAACAAGCACAAATTCATGCAAGTGTTTATATAGCCCAGACAGTCAATCATTGTGAATGCTTAGGTAGAACATGAATACATGTAAAGGGCAGTCAGGGAAAAATAACTATTATATCAAAGTGAATAAATATTAGGGTGTCTCTTAATAATAAATTGTACAATATACAGTTATAACACAGAATAATAATGATCACAGCACAAATAAGGAGGATATTTTGCAGTCATCCGGTGTCACCAGGTTAAAAAACCATTCTAAGTTTTGAACAAAGTAAGAACAACAATTGTACCAGCATAATATGAGCTCATCTTTTATTATTTACTTCGAGGATTCTTCTCAACTGGTTACAACCTGAACGATAAAAAAATATGAATTACATTAAAGATTTGAACATACTTTTCCACGATCACAAGGAGTAATTGGTAGGAAGTAAAAGTAACATTAGTCCGGAATGATTTAACTGATTAGGAGTTACAAACACTGACTATTTATTGAATAATTAGACAATTAGGTTTGGAGACAAAAAACAGGGTTGCATATATATGCGTGTATAGAAACAAAGTTTAGCTAGAAAGAGCATAACAAAAAAGTGGATTACGTAACTAAAGAAAACGTCTTATCTAATAGCCAATAGAAAAAAGGAAAGAAAAGAAACAAGGTAGGGTGAGTCATGTTTAGATGAGAGAGTAGAGTTTTCCTAAACATGAAAAAAGGGTGACTCATGAAAGTTGTATATTTTTTTTTGTTATCACCAGCACAGTGCAATATTCATCACTGTCTCTTTCTGCTAAGTTTCTTTTACTTGGTGATTATTTTGAACGACTTCAGGTTGTCTACAATATGACCCATGTCCAATAGATGACGCTCAATCGCACTGTTTAATGCTTGAGGACCTTTCAGTCTCAAGTTCTTTAGTATGTATTCATAAATGCGGACAATAACCCATTTCTCTCTGTTCTTCCAATGTATGTGCTTTAACACGTACATGTAAATAAATCGGTAGACACAATTGGTTTACTGGGGATTGATTGGGGCTGGATTTGGAGGCCATGAAAAGGAGAGGGAAACCAGTAACATAAACTGGGCCGATTAGTTTTATCGTGGAAACTACCTGAGAGCTATCCTTAGCAACTGAAGGCAAACATCTACAGAGAAGTAGGATGACACCTTATATGGAATAGTAAAGGCTAAAGATTTAATTAACTAGGCATGTGTGTGATTTACTGTGAAGATGATTTGCAGTCTCAAATAATATGCTCCATAAATGATGAAATGTTTGTTGAACTACTCATAACCAAGATATATGTATAACAACAAGTAGTTGGTTATTGTCTGGTTTCTATACGTCGATGATAATTAATACTTTGTCATGTAGGCTTTCTTTTAACCGCTTTTTCTCTCAACATTTTTCTCTTTCTCATCTGAATTTAGTTCTTCAAAATCGCAAAAGAAAAAGTTATTCTCTTCCCCCTATACAATTGTACAATTCCCTATTAATACAGAGGATAATAAGAACAATATTAATAATAATAGTAGTAGTATAATAATAATAGCAAAAAGAAAAGCACTACTACTTCCATTGAGACCAGTAGTAATCATGAAAGAAATTCACCGAATTCTCTGTTGGGTTCTACATCTACCTCCTTATCAATAGAGACTAAAAAATGGTCGAATACAAATTCATCCTATGAAGATAATGATGATTATAATGAGGAGAATTTGTCATCTGCTCAAAATGATCTTGTAAGTTGAAAATTATTGCGTATTGTCTTTATATTTTACTCTTTATATATACTCTTAACTTCAGGCTTTAAGGTTTGAATTTCCAGTAGTATTCGTATTTTTTTTGGAGGGGGGGGTGGGTTTTCTGACCCCATACTCAATTTTCTCCGTTGACTGGATTTACTGCTGGCTAGGTGGGGTTTAGAGATAAGTCGGTGGAGAATCCAACTGTCGTTAGTGTGGGTGTTCCATCATTGAACCATCGACTTACCAAAAATTCAATTTCTTAAGTAAGCCATATTATTATTATTCCCTTGCGTACCGAATAGAACATAGGGCTTCAACAATACATCTCCACTTTGTTGCATTCTATTTTTTGCTGTACTCATCAGCTGGGTCCACGAGTGACAGTTTCTCATTTCTTCTTCCCCACACGTTCTCCTCTATGTTACCTTCGCACTGCCAACCAACTGCTCGCTTCCCATTTGGATTCCACTGGAGGAATGGCCTGGTGCGCGATGTCATTCGATGGCCTCCTCATCGTATGAACAGTTCGTCTCCATTTTCCCCTACATATTTGTTAAGCGATTGGTTCTTACCAGTTGGTTTGTTCCCACAGTTTCTTGTTACTTATTCTTTCTGGTCATTTGATCTTCACTATGGAGCCACCGAAGGCAGCTGTTGACGAAAGTCTGCTGTGATCTGTTGGAAATCCTTTTTGTTACACGCCAATTTCCTGACCCATATAGAAGAACTGACTGATTTCACATTTGTGTTGAACAGAATCCGAATCTTGTTCTTTATGCTGGCTAAGTGAGGGCAGAAAATTTCCTAATTGGTTTCAGGTTGATGACGTAGTATCTTGCCTTTCCGATTCTGACTTTGACATCTTCACCAGCTCCGCCTATAGTTGAAAGGATGCTTCCTAGCCAGATAAGTGAATGAGCTAACCTCTATTAAATCTCTCCCGTTGGTGGTGATTGGTGCGTGTTGTTATTGCTGTTCGTTAGTTATCTTCATCACCTCCGTCTTCTCTATGTTCCCCTAGAGTCCTGTCTACGCTGCCTTTCTGGCGCTTCAACCAATTTGTTGGGTTCTGCCTGCCTGAAAATCTTCGAGTTTGTATGACATTAGACATAAATTATCCACACGCGAAATCCAGATATTCTAGAGTCTTCTCATCGGTTGTCCAGCGTGCTCCTGTCTCCTTGCTTCTCACAGTCCAGTCGACCACAATTAAGAATATCACCTTGGGTGATAATGGGCTGGCAGACTTGTGTCACTCCTGTATTCACTTCGAACGCCTCTCTGAGTTTTGCCGTTGTGGATTACCTGACACGTGCGACTGTCATATAGCTGGGTGTCGATTGAGGCTGATAAAGACTTGAGGTACGCCATAGTGTTGAAGCAGTTTCCAAACTACTTCTCGGTCAACGCTGTCTGGTAAAGGCATTTTCGAAGTCGATAAAGTTAAGGCTGAGAGAGAGAGGTTCGAATGTCATTCTATGCTTTGTTCTGTGATGACGATGCGTAGAGTTGGAATTCACTCAGCATAGGATTTGCCTTTCCTGAATCCAGATTGTTCCTGAGGTGGGTGGAGTTCTGTATCCAGCGCATCCTGTTTTGTTATGACCTCCCTTAACTCCTTTCCAACTTAATCCTATAACATCGCTTGATGAGTAAAGCGATGACTCGGGATAAGTAACACTCATGTTCTAGCCATCTCAGCTGATGTGGCTTCACAACCTTAACGATTGATTCACTTGTCTTATTTAACACTCTAAATCCAACCTCATTATTATTGGTGATATTATACCACCTATTAAGATAAACTGAACGTGAAATCTAGACTAGTTTCCCGACGGCCTGTGGTCAGAATCCTCTTTCAACCTAGGTTTTCACTTCAGCTGCAATTTACATTTGTATATCACTGAAATGTTAATTGGTTCTATGCAGAATCGAATCAAGCCCTTCTACTTAAAAAGCTAAAAGTAACAATAATAATAATTTTTCCTTCACGTTCCCCAGTGGAACATAGGGCTTCAAGCTAGTGGCTTGAAGTTTCTGTAGCAGTGTTTTTACTTTACAGGATGGGGTTCCTAGCCGCCTCATCCCAACCTTTCCTCTATACCAGCATTATTTCTGCTTATTGAGATAAAGGAGTGCGTCTGTAGCTGGGGATCGAACCCCGGACCATGTGTATGGTCGGCAAGCGTTCTAACCGCTGTGCCACCGACGCACAAATAGCTGAAAGTGAAGCTTAAGAATTCAAAATGGATGCCTCTTATCCCCGTATTTTTTATCGATAAATGGTTTACAGAGTACTGGAATCGTTTTTTGAAGAAAACTGGAGATTGGCAATGTCTTAGGTTTTCGAAATAGAGATGTGTGATACATTAACTTATCACCATTATGAAATTAGGCATATGAAGAAGTCAAGTAAAAGTAAGCATTATTATTGGATGGATTCTAAGGTCTATCACATATACAATCGATTGATTATTGAAGGAATTCGAAGTTAATTTTTACTATATGGAATATCTGTTTGTTTTCCATCATTTTAATTGGTGAATTTTCACTAAATCTGGATTTCTGGAGGTCTCCTCCCATTTGAAATGGAAGCATCCGCTTCTTAGTTTTGGTAGTTCTGTTCCCACTGGAACTCGAATTTACTACGCATACCCGGGTTCCACTGTTAGCCTCCACCGCAACAAACAAAATGACTCCCATAATAGCGAAGCATCCGTTCAAGAAGCTCATAGATCGAAATAAGCGTCGATCTATTTGGTGTCCAGACATATCAACGGGATATCACAAGTGTGAATAAATGATTTCAGTTCTACAAATTCTTTCGTTCTTCCAACTTTTAAGATAGTGTGTTTTTGAAAGTCTACAATGAAGTATCCAATTAATGTTGATGCATTCTGTAATTTTTTTTAAAACTTTTGTTATTATTCAGTCTGATGATAAATCACTTCCGGTTGGTCATAACGGTCCACTGTTCTCAACAACTACATTAGAAGTTCTCCGTCTAATTGGTAAGATTCTATTGAATTTCATTTAATCTGGTTATGCTACAAAAAATAAATTTAAATTATATCTTATCTCTGTTTTTCAAATCTTTGCACCGTTGGGTTTCTTAAAACAATTGCTTCGAACTCTTTCGTGTGCTTGAGTGAAGAGTTGAGTTTTTTAATGATATTTTTCCAACTACTATATATATATATATATATAATATATAATAATATATATATATATATAAGTAGGATAAAACGATAAAATGATAATATCATTACTTAGATTATGAGTTCTTGTAGGGATTTGGATTAATTTAAATTTGAAAAGATGCCTAATCTAATTATCGATCTCCGACTGATTGATGGCTACCGAATGGATGTCCTGAAACTGTAATTAGAATTCACAACCAGTGGTATTCATTATGCCAAAGTGAAGTTACTGCTTATCGAATTCATTAGTTGGAGGTAGGCACTGTATCACCAATTGACAAAGTTTTAGCATTCACAGGTCATTGAATTCCAGTGAGCTAGATCTTGTAACCTGATGATCCAGAGCGTGATCCCTGGTGGCATCGTTGGTGTGCACCGACGAATAGTTACAAATTGGTACGAAACTGCTGTTCAGTGCTTCTTGATTTTCAATTATCTCTAACTGTTTTTGGTTCGTGAAGAAATCTATATTAAAGTAATTAATATTACAATTGCTACTTGTAACAGTATACTCTTATCGTTATCGAGAGTTATTCAGCACGAAATGGATAAAGTAGCAAGGCACTGTCAAGTTGCTAGATTTCCTGCCGTAATAAGTAGCAGCAAATGAACAGCTGAAAATTTGACAGACATTATAGAGACTCTTTTTATTTCCTTCACGTTCCCAGTGGAATATAGGGCTTCAAGCTAATGGCTTGAAGTTTCCGTAGCAGTGTTTATTTTTACAGGATGGGGTTCCTAGCCTCATGCCCAACCTTTCCTCTTCATCAGCTTTATTTCTGGCGTAGTAAGGTAAAGGAGTGCGTCTGTAGCCGGGGATCGAACCCCGGACCATGTGCATGGTCAGTGAATGTCTTTACTGCTGTGCTACCGACGCACTTCACCATGTATACTGTTTGTGATTTGAATCCGATAACTAGTCACCTCAAACTGTATACTACTGATTGAATGAGATGAGTAGTTGCATACCACTCACATTAACCGGTATTGTTTCTCTAGCCAGATCTAAGTGGTCAAACCGACAGACGTCTGTTTCGCTTATTTGGGACTGAGCTCATCACTGGTGTACCCTGTTCGACTCAGCTCAGCCAGCTAAAATCAGTTGAAACCACCTGACTCTTTGAACCTCTAGAAATTGATGTCGCATACAAACCAACAAAATCACTTCACTCAGCTTCATGTCAGCCAAAAGACTCAACAGCGAAAGAAGATAAAACCAACATCATAGAGAAAATAAGTTGCGACGACTAAGAAAAACACTACATTGGCCAACGTGGACTCCCTCTTCGTCTTCGTATCCATGATCACAAACTAGCCGTCAAAGGACATGACATCCACCCCCTCATAACACCTCACTGCATACAGAAAAGCATGGACATCAATTGGACTAGGACAAAGTTTGTATATTAGACAGAGGAAACACCAAGAATGCTGGGGAAGTCTGCCTGGTATTCCAGTGAGTCGTCAACCAACAGATACATCGACATGGACAAAATTTACTGATCGATAAGAAGGAAATCTCGCACTCAAAGTGTCAAACTTCAGATCAGGGAAACAATCAGTACCAATACAAGTAGCCTTGAGGGTGTGAGAACACACGAAAACAACCAATCACGTTCATGATCGCCCATCAGAAGTGATGACTAATAAACTCGTAGAGAAACCTAAAAGCTCACTTCAACAAATTGAAGTATGCACTGAAGATGTTGTCAAGTAGGGCAATGAAAGCTTCTCAAGCAAAACCATCCAGCTAGCTCAGAGAACACAACTACATCAAAATCATCATCCACCTGAGGTACAAATCTTTTCCGTCGTATCTAAACCACTTGATTTCTGGATAGCTAACTGATCTAACTGGTAATTCTATTAATCAAATTCACAATTCACACACTTTGAGGTGATTATTTCACTACACTACCGAAGGTATTCAGATTGCAGCGTGTTGTTTTCTTGATGTCATAAATAGTAATCAAGAAACTAAGGATGCGAGTGGTGCACAACTACTCAATCAATCAATCAGTACTATGTGTGTGTGCAGGTGTGCTTGCTTTCTTGATTACCATTTATAGTAAGTAACAAGCGGATCACACATACTGTGAATATGCATAACTTAGGTTTCTAAAGGGAAGTGTGCTGAAATCTCACCTTGAACTGTGTAAACTGCAAGTTCGATGACCAGTTATGTGCATAGTATTCATGTGATGCCATTCATTAAATTGATCCGTAGCGGGTTTAATCTACTATATTCTTTCTCTCACCCTCTCTCTCTCTCTGTTTTCACATTGAAAATATACTTTTCTTATCTTTCACACTGTGACCTTTGACCTTATACTACTTATCATAGACTATTTATCCTCTTTTCCCTTCATATGACCTTCATATCAGGTTATTGCCCCTTAATCTTTGTTTATTGATCTTATTCACTATTCTCTTGTACGAACTTTATTGCCTTTTCTAAGGTCAGATTATTTGTATTATTCCATTGGGTTACATGAATGCATCGTTCACACATACACGCACACGTGATTGGTGTTTGCCTTGATAATTTTCGATAAACTAGCAAAGACCAAACATTTGCAGCATAGCGGAAGAGTCTCTTTTCATCGAAATTCATTCACTTAGCCATACAATCGCATTTTTTTTATATATAATTATTTGTGTGTGTGTGTATGTGTGTATTGCTGGAGCTCTAGCCATTCAGATAGAGAAACCGGAAGAATGTATGCATAGGGAAGAAAATTACTCAACCACTACTACTATAATAGTAACAATCATATTGATTTTTACCAACTTGATTTTTGTTAACTCCTTATAACACTTGTAGTGTTTCTTTAGAACTAATTCTATATTTTCTTTCGTTTCTATGTTCATCCTGTTCACAACTCACTCATCAAATTATTCGTCTTTATGACACTCATTCAAAAGACTTCTAAATCGTCCGCCACCTACAACACGTCCAGCAATACCAACAACGGAAGCAGAACTACCAGTGAACACTGACCCCCCGACGAAATCGGAAGTCCTGAATGCAATCAAGATGCTTAAAACTGGGAAAACACCGGGACCAGATGGAATCCCAGCAGAGGCTTTGAAAATAGACCCAGAGACAACAGCGGACTTGATGACACCACTACTGGAGAAGGTGTGGAAAGAGGGCAAAGTACCCGAGGATTGGAAGAACAGTTACTTATTCAAACTTCCAAAGAAAGGAGACTTAAGTCAATGTAAAAACTGGCGGGGAATTATGCTTCTGTCCATTCCAAGCAAGATACTAAGTCGCATCATCCTGGAGAGAATCAAACAAGCCCTAGATGAAAAACTTCGTCCGGAACAGGCTGGATTCAGGAGAAACAAATCATGTATTGATCAAATCGCCACTCTACGGATCATCATTGAACAAAGCTTGGAATGGCAGTCACCTCTCTATCTCAACTTCATCGACTTTGAAAAGGCCTTCGACAGCGTCGATCGAGAGGTCATTTGGAAACTACTTCGCTACTACGGGGTCCCATCGACAATTATACACCTCATCCAACAGTTATACGACAATGCTGCATGCCAAGTAATCCACAACGGGAAACTTACGGAAGCCTTCGAAGTGAGGACGGGAGTGAGGCAAGGCTGTCTACTATCACCAATGATCTTCCTGATTGCAATCGATTGGATAATGCGACAGACAACGGCAACCAACGAGGGAACAGGCATAAAATGGACTGACACAAAAGACTTGGAGGATCTGGATTTCGCCGATGATATATGTCTGATTTCCCATAAACTGGAAGATATGCAAATGAAAAGTAACAAGTTGGCAGAAGAAGCATCAAAGATAGGACTTCACGTGAACATAGATAAAACAGAGATGATGAAGATTCCTTGCCAACATCAACAGCAACAACAGACCACAATAAGCATAAATGGGAAGAACCTGAAAGAAACAACCTCCTTCACCTACCTGGGAAGCATCGTCTCAACTACAGGCGGAACTGACGAGGACATCAAAGCCAGAATCGGAAAAGCAAGACAAGCTTTCATTACTCTCAAATCTGTGTGGAGGTCAACAGCATTCAGCATCAAAAATAAGATCCGGATTTTCAACTCCAATGTGAAGTCAGTGCTACTATACGGATCAGAGACTTGGCGAGTCATAAAGAGCATCTCAAACAAACTTCAAACCTTCATTAACAACTGTCTCCGCTCAATACTCAAGATCAGATGGCCAGAAAAGATCAGCAACAGGGATCTCTGGGAGCGAACCAATCAGGAACCGATTGTTAAACAAATAGGCAGAAAGAAATGGAGATGGATTGGCCATACGCTGAGGAAACCAACAAGTGACATCACTAGACAAGCCCTCGAGTGGAACCCGAAAGGGAGGCGGCGAGTTGGTCGTCCAAGGGTGACTTGGAGGAGGTCATGTGAAGAGGAGATGAAAGCATGTGGGCAGACCTGGAGCAGGGTGAAAAAGTTGTCAAAAAACCGAAGTCAATGGAGGTGCGCAGCTGAAGCCCTATGTTCCTCTAGGAACTAAAGGATACAATAATAATAATAATGACACTCATTCAACTTCTTTTATGCAATGGCTAACATTGACAACACATAACTCTTTTCATCCCGTTCCCCCTATATCTTATTTAAGGGATTTATTACTTCTGTTTATTAGCGATGTTGGATTCCCATTTGAGGGCGACTGCTTCCATCAACTCGATGGTTTCGTTATGAGAATTCCATTGGGACCCCTTTTAGCAGATATCTATGTGTCGTATATTGAAATTTTATCGGAAGACATAATCGAAAATGCACCACTTTATAGAAGATATGTCGATGACATTGTAATCATAAGTGATAAGCCTTGTTCTGCTACCTCAATTTTAAATCGAATGAATGAAGTTCAAAATAGCATATCACTTACGTCTGTAGACGAGGAAGATAATTGTTTATCTTTCTTAGATATATTACTTAGTCGACGACCTGGTGGATCAATAAAACGATCTATTTATGGAAAACTCACCTGGACAGGACAGTATCTTAACTAACACAGTTTCTGCCCTGTTCGGTGCCAAAGAGCCGTAGTGAGCGAGGTGCCTCTTCAGTAGAATCCAACGAATATGCACTGAAGACACACTTGATGAAGAAGAAAGAAAGTTGACACAAACTCTGCTTGATAACATTTATCCAGACAAGTTCATTAGGAGATATAAAGTATTTAAAACAACCAACAAAGGTGGTTAATAAAGCAGGATTTATTGAATTCATCAAATTTCGACAGAACTCGTCAGTTGAATACTCTACATACACGGATATATATGCTTTTGAAATTATATTGCGAGATATAAGACTGATAAGTAAACAAACTACATTGAACTAGTCATGCAGAAAGACGACAAGTGCGAATGTTTTCCAGTTCATGTTCAAATAGATAAGGGGAGAGAGAGTATGAGAGATAAATTGCATTACGCTTCAATTACATCACTTAGATAAACAATTAGTCATTAGGGAATATAACGAGAATTGCAAACAGACTAATATCAATAGTAATAATTATATATATTATTATATTATATTAATTTAAACCTATCTGTAGAAAGTGTTTGGGGCGTATCCTAAAGTATGTGGAAGACGTGACAAATTGAAGATTTAAACCACCTTTATGCTTTCAAAGCAACAATTCGTCATCACACCAAACTTTCTTTGGTAAACTTTGTTTTGATACCAGCGTGGATAGATGTACTATTGCCTCTGTTGTTTGGTTTAGTGATCTTCATTGTTATTTTAACCTTCAATGTGTCCTTGACCTAAGTCTATTTCCTCACCTCTTAACTCTTTATTAATTTCACATATATTCCTATGACAAGTCCGTGTATATAATGAGGTTCTTCGAATGCATTGCACAAATGCATTACACAATTCAGATAAATTATGTCTTCTTATTGCTTTGTTTAAGCTATATTTGTTTGTAACAACTCATCACTATTACCCTCTGACTAATCTTCGCCTAATGTACACACATACATACAAAATTATCATAGATAATTGCGATCGTGTACCTCAGTGAATGAATTCACTGACAAGGGACTCTTCACTGAACTACATGTTTTGTTTTTCATTAATGTCTGCATGGAGATCATTCATGAATGGTATGTTATCATGGTATAAACTGTAATACCAGTTTGATTTTGAAGTGTTAGTTTGCAGGGAATGGATCGGTCTAAAGGTGTTAGATGTATTGCTGACATCATCAAGTTTTATTTACGTTGAAATCATCATCAATTCATATGTATTGCGAAGTGGGAAACGAGTAGGGAGACAAGACAGAGGACAGAAAAAATAATAAATTTGAACAAAGTAAGAAGAAACATTGGCGAAGAATAATCTGGATCCATTTTATTTCGTTGCTTCTCATCAGCTGCGTACAACCTGAATTTTTCAATAAAATAAAAATAAAAAGTGTACAATTTTAACAAACCTTTGTCCATTAGCAAGCATATTGTCAACTCGTCATAGTAAAATAAGGCGTTGCGATTTACAGGGTGTCTAAAGTGTTACGACATACATATATATATCTTGTTAGAGAGAAAAATTCAATAACAGTTGTGTTGTTGGGGTGGTAACAAAAGACCATTAGTAAAAGTTAAGAAATTAGATAAGAGAAGATCAAAATTTTACAATTTCTGTTCACATGAGGTCAGATGAAGAGGTGATGATGTAATAAAGTGAGCAGAACTCAGAAGATCAAGAAAAATTATCTCTTAAGAGAGTCAAGCAAAAAATTAAGGGTGGGGGTGGAGTGAAAAGACAAACTGACAAAATTAACAAAATTAGAAAAGAAAGAGGTGAGTCACCAGGGTAATAAAACGATTGAAGCCTGACCCATGTGTCCAAATAGAATCCGTTCTTGGACTTCAATTACCCTGGTGACTCACCTCTTTCTTTTCTAATTTTGTTAATTTTGTCAGTTTGTCTTTTCACTCCACCCCCACCCTTAATTTTTTGCTTGACTCTCTTAAGAGATAATTTTTCTTGATCTTCTGAGTTCCGCTCACTTTATTACATCATCACCTCTTCATCTGACCTCATGTGAACAGAAATTGTAAAATTTTGATCTTCTCTTATCTAATTTCTTAACTTTTACTAATGGTCTTTTGTTACCACCCCAACAACACAACTGTTATTGAATTTTTCTCTCTAACAAGATATATATATGTATGTCGTAACACTTTAGACACCCTGTAAATCGCAACGCCTTATTTTACTATGACGAGTTGACAATATGCTTGCTAATGGACAAAGGTTTGTTAAAATTGTACACTTTTTATTTTTATTTTGTTAAAAAATTCAGGTTGTACGCAGCTGATGAGAAGCAACGAAATAAAATGGATCCAGATTATTCTTCGCCAATGTTTCTTCTTTCTTTGTTCAAATTTATAAAAGGGAATCATTGTATGAAAAATAGTAAACTCTGCTAGTTTGTGGGATTACGTAACAACCTATATATATATATGTAGCTCTGTGGAATAAAGTCACTAATAGGCATGATTGTACAGCCAACTAAGTCAAAATGAAAGTGTAACTGACAAAGGAGCGAGAGATTGATCACACTCTTTGTTTGTATGCATAAGTTTGGCTGGTAGTGTTTAACTGAAATCACTGCACCGTCGGTTAGGATGCTCGCCCACCATGAAGATGGTCTGGGTTTCGATCCCCGACTGACTCACAACTGTAATCACTGGCCGGCCTGCTAAATTTGGACTAACGGTATCAAATGCTTAAAAAGTCCACAGTTGTACCAAAATACTGTATGGAAACGAGGCAAAGCGGCAGGACCCGACGGAATTATTCCGGAGGTGTTTAAATATGGGGGTGACATACTAGTTTGTAGATTAACTGAGGTACTAGGCAAAGTCTGGGAATCAGAGACAGTCCATCAGACTGGGGTAAGTCACTTATTATACCGATATTCAAGAAGGGAAACAAGTCCTCGTGTGATAATCATAGGGGGATCAGCCTAACGAACATAGTCTCTAAAATCCTAGGCTCAGTAATCATGCATAGACTAAGCAGAACTCGGGAGGAACAGACAAGGGAAAATCAAGCAGGCTTTAGACCAGGTAGAGGGTGCATAGATCATATCTTCACTCTTCGACAGATTCTAGAACATAGACACACTTTTCGGCGTCCAACAATTGTCATATTTCTTGACTTGAAGGCGGCCTTCGACTCCGTGGATCGAAAGGTACTATGGCAATGTCTGACTGTGAAGGGAGTGCCAAGAAAGTACATTGCACTAATCAAGGCACTCTATTCAAACTCACGTAGTCGTGTAAGGGCTTATGGGGAATTGTCATCTGAATTGGTAACAACCAGTGGTGTCCGACAGGGATGTCCACTTTCCCCATTTCTGTTTAACTTCATCATAGATATGCTGATGGAAGTATCCTTAACTGAACGTAATGACTTAGGAATCGACTTGTTACCAGGGAATAGTCTTATGGACTTAGAATATGCAGATGACATAGTCCTGTTAGGGGAGGATGCTGACAAAATGCAGAGTCTTCTGAACACCTTGAGCAGCAATCTTCGTATGTTTGGCATGCGATTCGCCCCTGCAAAATGTAAGATGCTGCTACAGGACTGGACTACGTCAACTCCTAACTTAGTGATAGGGAGTGAAGTGATAGAACATGTTGACCACTTCACCTATTTGGGAAGTTGTATTAGCACCAACGGACTGATTGGCGATGAAATCTCAGCACGGATCCGAAAAGCTCGAGCTGCTTTCGCTGACTTACACCATCTCTGGCGTAGGCGTGACATCCGGTTATCAACCAAGGGACGTGTGTACTGCTCATCAGTTCGCTCCGTCCTTCTCTATGGCTCTGAAACATGGCCAATACGCGTTGAAGACATGAAAAGGTTGACTGCTTTCGATCATAGATGTCTGCGATCTCTGTCTCACGTTAGGTGGTTTAATAAGGTAAGTAATGTTGACGTTAGGCGTAGAGTGTTGGGCAAAGAGGGAAAATCAATCGACGAGGCTATAAAGTTACATAGACTGAGATGGCTAGGTCACGTGCTGCGCATGCCTAACCACCGCCTCCCCCGACGGGCATTGCTAGCTGATATAGGTTCAGGTTGGAAAAGAGCCAGTGGTGGCCAAACAAAAACATGGCATCAATCCATGAAATCCTTGACAGTTAAACTGAGTCAGGTAGGGAGATGCAGACTTCCGGGTTGGGGCCCTCGGGACTCTAGGAATCAATGGCTGGAGACAATAGGTGACATGGCTCAAAATCGTTGTCAATGGCGCAGATGTATTCAGTCTCTGTAATCTTTCATATTCCTTTCTACCATTACCCATTCTGTTTCACTCTTATACTTGTCAAACTCTATTGATTCTCTTCACTCATCTTCTTGTCTACCTTTGTGTGCTATTTGGAACGTGGCAACTCGAACTGCTGCACTTCGGTGCCAGTTTCTATGTTGAATCCAGACAGACAGGCAGACTATATGGAATCAAGCTATAATAAAAATTTCTTTAAATCATAGTAAATTTGTTGCTGCCTTCACATTTATTATTTCGAAGGATTTAAGAATTTCAATGGAATGATTCGTATTTATTAGGCGTCTAGAAATTGTGCTTTGTAAATATCTCTTTCCATTTGGGCATAAATTTCTTGATATATGTTCAGAAAACTGAAGAGAAGTCTTTATTCATATCCTACTTGTTATCGTAAATGCATGTCAACTAATGAATACTCTCTCTTCTTTGAATTGAAGGCAAATGAAGACTTTCTTCTTTTTTTGATAGGTGTGTGTTTCGTTTTCTCAACTCCCCTCCCTGTCTACCAAGTATTTCAGGATGAATTTATTGGGATATCGAATCTCTGTTAGCCATTTCTTTACAAAGCCTCCACACCTTTTTCTAGCTTGTTGAGTGAACATGACTTCTGACTAATCTATGCGCATATCTAGGAGAACAGAAGCTATTGCAAAGAAGATATTATCCGTTTCAAGTTTCTTCCCTATGAATGAAATCGTCTATTGTAGTGTCATCACTTTTCATCATATTAAGAGCTAGCAAATTAAACTCGTGGGGTTATGCTCATTGTAAAGTGAATCTTGTTGAAAGGGTCAAACAGTTTATCCTATTTAGTTTTTGTTTACTCGGAATTTTCTTGTAACTTTAAGAAGTAGCACGCATCGTTCATTATACAAATGGCTGTTTTTCCTCCTGGGGGTAATGCAATTTTTCTGAGATAGATGGTTTTCTAAATGTCTACTAGATTTTGAGCCATATTCGTAGGTAATCTAAGCTATAATCAGTTTCTCATATATCAATCAAATATGTAAATCAAATTAACCGTTGGCAACTTCATTGGTTTGTTTCAGGATTTCATCATGAGCTGACATTAGTTAAAGAACCATTGGAAAACATGTGAGGAGTACTGGACAGCTGTTTCGTCCTAGTTTAGACTCTTCATCAGTACGCACCCACCGGGATTCGAACCCAGGACCTTCCGGTTACAAGGCGAGCTCGTGTTACCATTAAGCCCCTGGGACCCGTTCCAATGGTCCTTGAATTCTAACTTCTGCCAATTCACAACATAGCGCGACCTCTAGCCAATGTCTTCGGTGGGTATTTGTCTTTACACCCGACCCGCTTCACCCTACTGATCACGACTTCCAATGGTTCTCTCACTAATGTCAGCTCATGATGAAATCCTGTAGCCAATCAAATCACTACAAACCAACACTTGAATCGTAAAACTGTTCGTTTATGACTAAAAGATACAATTGCTCGTCAAGCACGCATGTAGTTCAGGTTCGATTCCCTGCCAGTCTACCCCTCACTATTTCTTTTAGAGGTTACTAGTCGATAGTAAGGATGCTAGAAAAGAGGGAAGGTTGTGAGCATGAGGAACTTTTCACCAAATTTACCAGAGTTTGTCATCAATCCGTATATTTGCGTCAATTGATAAAATTTCACAGAACGATTAGATAAACATTGCTATTGAGTGAAGAGAAAATTAGAAAGAAAATTAGTGGTCCCAATAACTCATTAGTATAGATTCTATAGGCATTATTTATTTATTTCTCACATGTGAGCACATTTCATTTAGCCTAGCATTACTTTTGATCAATTCGTCAGGTAGTCACCTGATAACGAAAAGAAAAAGAAACGAAAATTCAGCATGAATATTATTATTATTATTGAACGGTAATTACAATACGATTTTAATCACAATTTAAACAATTTATTATTAGTATTGTCAATACTAAGTTAGGTATGTTATTTGAGAGAATGACTTGAAAATCGATTTGTGCGATAGGTTTATAACGTGTATGTGTGTGTATGTGTATTTACAGACAAGCGTTCATTATCAAATTCGGCTTCTTCTTCGTATCAGGAATTAGTACTGTCAGTTACAGTTATCTATTTGTAGTTAGTAGTAGCTGTCATCTCGATTGCTATAGTGACTTAAAAAGGTGATTTTTCGAGAGTATGTGATAATATTTAAACTCGGTAATCCGGAACAGATGTTTCAAGTACACCAGAGTATAAGCAATGCTTGTGTTGTGACGACTGACAATTTGTAGATATTGAGGAGTGAACATTAAGGCTATACTTCCGTCATATTCAATTGAGTAGAAGAGAAGATATTTTACTCAAGAAAGATGTCTATAGAAGACCTACATCTTCAGGACAATATACACATTTCTTCAGTATTGTACCCTTCCGATATAAAATCAATTTGGTCAGATGTCGCACGAATAGAGCAAGATGGATCTGTGTACAGATGATTCCTTAGAAATTGAATTAGGTTGTATCCAAAATACGCTGATCCGAATGCGTTATCCTAGTAGATTTGTAAGGAGACAGACACATAAACACCAGGTATAATAAAGAGAAACTGACAACAATTAAAAACAAACAACTGTTCTTAAAATTTCATTTTAATGGGGATGTGGCTAGTGAAGTCTTACATCTAAGATCATCGAAGGCAATAAAACGGACTTATACTGCCGCCACCACCCTTTGTTTGTCATTTTCCAGTTGACCAGTTATGATTGTTCAAGGGACACACAAGCTCTCTAGCTGTGCCACTTCTATGTGTATCTACAAATTTAACAACCCGTTGAGGAAAAAGCTATGTAGGGTGAACAACTAGACAGCTTAACAAACCTATTGACGAGTATCTTCATTCATTGTGCGGAAAAGACTAGATAAAAACTATAAGAAGTTCCATTTTGACTCATTTAATTGATAATGGAGGTCACCAAGTGGATAGAAGAAGTGTCTTCAAAGTTATCTGTTGCACTTCATTGAACCGTTCGAGTGCAATTTGAAACCGCCTTTTACAAATATCCGAAGCTATGGGAATTCGAGAGAACAATCCTAGTCTTTATATGCAACAAAAGAAGTTTGTTTAACCTTTATCTCTCCCTTGGTCTAGGTGAATTCTTAACAAATCCCCCCCCACACCCTTTCTTATTTCTCGTTCCCTTCGTACTTCTATGATATTTATTTAAACTCTGATTATCTGTCCACTTCACCTATAGGTATTACGTGACTTTTAAGATTTGACCTAATTTATTTATTGATTTGTCTACATGTACACATATTACTCTACCTTATTATCAATATTTTGTTTTCATTATAATCATCGTTATGACTGACGTTTAAAACATTTAAAACTGATTATTAAGTTTATTATTTAATCCACAAACTCATCGTTATTGGTTAACATTTTTTATAAATAAATCTATGTTAGTTAGAGTGAAGCCTGAAGAAGATATAATTGATGAAAACAAGATTGTTCGCTTATGTGTCTTGTTCTAACATTGGTAGATTAATAGCCAAGTGAATCCTTATCATTGGTTATGCTAGGTAGTTGTAAGGCGAGTTGCCGCTGGCTAATGCTCGTAATACACAGAGCGGTAAATTAGGTGACAATAAACTGGCCTGGTTAACTTCTTAATTTGCCTCTGTGGTAGCTATTGAATAAAAAAAATAAAAAGTATTATTTTATAAAAGGACAACAAAGATCGTTTAGCTTAGTTGGAGGATTAGTTGTGTTGAATTGGCAATGAGATCACTGCGTTATTGCATAATGGACGGGAAATGACGCCGTTTTTTTTGTACGTGGCGACATCTGCAGATCAGCAGTCAAAGTATGGGTTAACATCACAAGAAGGATAAATGTTTAGCTCGCATCTTCGATCCATTCTTGTTATGGTTGTCAGGCTGGTGCGACAAACTGATCAGTGTGAAAGAAGTTTCCTCAACTACTGGGTCTGAGACTCATTGGACCGAATGACTAGACCGTTACATCACCAGTAAATTCACAATATTACGTGAGAAAAGTGGTTATAGTGCAACTTGTGCATAACTGGCCATGAAAGTTTGCTGCATAAGATAATCAGGAGGAATTACGGTGTGATGAACTACTTTATCGACCTAAATGCTGAGCCTGTTTTTTACGTTATACCGATCATAATTCATGATTTCCCCAGTATGAAAGTGCATCGGTGATTCAGCGGTGGAATAACCGCCAATCATGTGGTCCAGAGTTCGAATCCCTACCGACGCACTCATGAACCTTGCTAAGCCAGTATGAGGCGGTGAAGAGAGAAGAAGTTGAATTGAGCCTTACAACTCCACCCCGTGAAAAACTATGTATTTAAGGCAAATTATGACGCTGTGCGACTAAAATGATACGATTATGACCAATAATTTATGCTGGCAACGTCATGCAGTAACTTATACTGAAAAAACTTATTAATTGGATTGCATTATGTAGTGATAATAGATTTGTCAGTTTGTAACAACAAGACAAGGGCCAGGCAACAGATCGTTATCATGGAAATCAACACATATTTATAGATCTTCATGTACACGTTATAAATTATTGTTAGCAGAAAAACACAGTCTTCTGGTTCTGTCTGTCTGTTTTCGACATAGAACTTTGCACAAATGTGCGGCAGTTCAAGTCGCCACACTCCGTGTAGCACGCGAAGCAAAAGTACAAGAAAAGCACGATAGAAACAGTGAGCGGAGGTGTGAGACAAAGGAGTAATAACGAAGAACAAAACAGTTTCATTGGAGATTAAGTCACAAGGAGTGGATGCATCTACGCCACTGAGAACGATTTTGAGTAGCCATGTCACCAATTGTTTCCAACCATTGGTTTTTACCGTCCCGAGGACCCCCTGGAAGTCTACACCTTCCTGATTGGCTGTTTCTCACAGAAAGTTAACCTTGTATCTCTTTGTGGCTGTTTCTTGAATGTCAGATCATCTATATGCTAACTGTATCCGCCTACGCAAAGCCTTTGTTCTAATTTTTCTCACGACCAATATTGGGGACATAAATATTGACGAAAATTACTGTCCACCAATTTTGACTAACAGACAGCTCTCACCACAAGTTGACTAACTTACTAGGAAACGGTTTACTACTGTCTTGATTAAGTAGCCAATCGTGAATTTGATAGTTCAGCTGTTTTGTCCAGCTTAAGTTTATTACATCATATTGAATCTGAAGCGATCACTTGGATTTGATATTCATCATCGAAGGAAATTGTTTCACAAAATCAATCACACGTTGAAACAAGCTTGAGATTTTTTCAAAATGCGATCTGTATGATGTCTGTAATAGAAAATTAAATTATCTGGATGAAATTTCAGAATGATATTTGTTAAAATACTATCATGTTTCAAAAAAATAAAATAAATCGATTGTCTATCCCATAATGAATGTTTTTAATAACTGGCGGTTACGCCCAAATGTAGCATACCGCATAAAACCTGTACACCTTAGAAGGATACCACCAGTTAAAGCATCACTGTAAATCAGGGAGTTCCCAACAGCTGTTCGGTCCTATTTTGAGACTCTTCAAAAGTATTCACCTATGAGCCCAACGGCTATGGGACCCAGGAGCTACTCCCTACAAGCAGAACCCAGTGAGCACTGCCCAGCTTCCGAGATGTTGGTGGCGCTGTATGTCACAGACTGGCAGAAACTATAATCCATGGCTCACTTCATAACCTGAAGATACTGAGTTCGATTCCCTATGGAGTCATGAGTGTGTACTTCTGCAGTTAATATTGAGGTTAGGCGTCGAGTGCTAGGTAAACAGGGGAAATCAATCGACGAGGCTGTGAAGCTACATCGACTGATATGGTTAGGAGATGTGTTACGTATGCCTAGCCATCGCCTTCCTCGACCTAAGGGCAATGTTAGATGACATAAGGTCAGGCTAGAAAAGAGCTAGTGGCGGTCGAACCAAAACATGGCTTTATCAGTCAATGAAATCCATAGCAGTTAGTTTAAGTCAGCCACATAGGAAGGTGTAGACTTCCTGACTGGTTGGGTTCCTCAGAACCAATGGCTACAGACAATCGGTGATATGGCTCAAAATTGTTCTCAATGGCTGGCGCAGATACATCCACTCTTTGTGACTTATAATTGCCAATGAAACCATATTGTTCTTCGTTATTACCATTCCTTTTGTCTCATATCCCTGTCTACTGTCTCTATTTTGCATTTCTTCTAATTTCTTCTCCTACTTTGTGTTCTACATGGAGTTTGGCAACTTGAACTGCTGCACATCGGGCTTCAGTCCCAACCTGGGACAAAACAGCTATCCATTACTGTCTGGTTTTCAATTGTTGTCTAATTGGGGTCAGCACGTGGTCTAACTTGAAATCAATCACTTCCGTGTAGATCAACACTTGAAAATAAAAGAATCACACCGTCAGTAGAATAATTAATGGGGTTGTTTACTGAAGTAATGGTAAAATATGTTTGTTTAACCACATTCACATACGTAAGGTCAACAGATTTAGGAGTCAAACTGTCTGGTTTCTGTTTCTACTTATTTGTTATCGAAGAAAACCTAAAAAATGTATGTTTACTTAAATAAGTCAACATTGTGTTTCTATCTATGATAAGTGAGACAGTCAAACAAGACAAAAAGATCTGTCAGATTGTAGTGTGATACCTTAGATTGTGAAACTGCGAATATATGTGGAGACTATTGGGTTACATGCTGCGATGTCTAGAATAAAATTAAGCGGAAGGGAAAGCCATAAGTAGACGTTTTGACCAAATTTTAGTCTTTAGTAAGTTGTGTGCAGCAGAATGTATTCACCTCGATTATCTTCTTTATCCTGTTCGTTTGTCGTCTTCCGCTCTCCTTCTCCCGCCCACGACCATCCCGCTCGACATTCATCTCTAATTATTTTTCCTCCTGTAGATCATTTTCATTTAGGCAACAGTAAGTGGCCTATTTATGCATCTTCTGAACGGAGTTCATTCAAATTGTTTGTCAAAGTGATGGCAAGTATTACTGTATTAAAGTACTTTGAGTAACAATAAAGTGTACATTGAACGTGTATAGTAAGTTAAAGAGAAGGTGGTCTGGTTAAATTATAGATTTGAGCATAGTTCTTTGGTTCCTTGCAAGTAATGGTCTCGTGATCTAACCTCAAACCACCACCCCCCCCCATCTCACTTGTTCCCGAAGTACAACAAGTAGGACTCATAGCTTAGTGCATAAAAAAAAAATGAAATTTGTACGGAGTGGTGAAATTAAAAAGCTACTGAAAATGAAAGATGACTAACTAAATCGAGCTTATTTCCAATCTGGCTTTGTTACTATCCTTGGCCAAGTTAAACTTTAAGCACCACTAACTAACTACCAATGGAGTGCGATCGCACTAATGACCTAGATACGCTCACTGATCAAGTTAATGAAACCTGGCAAATAATGTTGTCATCATCAATAAAATATGCTCATCGAAGTGTTATGCTATTAAATGGGATATCTGGCAAGCTTCAGTTTAGGTTTGGCAAAGATTAAGTTACGATTCAAGCCAAGGACAAGTTAAGGTTAGGTTAACCTAAACAAGACGACCTCAGGGTTGGTTCGAGTTAGATTACAGTTAGTTTAAGGATATTTTCACGTTAGCGTAAGGTTCAGGAAAGATCAGGGTTATTGTTAGAGTTAGAAGACCTAAATAATTACTTGTATGGAATGTGGTTAAATTACTCTGTTGATATGTGAATAGTACTTATACACTGTGGTAGAGAATAATTCTGTTGTGGGTAAAATTTATTTTGATAAAGTCTCACAGTGTTATACAGTAATGTTTACTGATGACGTTTCCAGAACAACTTATTGCTCAGGAAATATTATTGTTTTATTTTAAATACTCCTCTCTTCGACATTCATCGAAGAGGTTTTCACCAAAGAAAATACTTATGAAATTATTGTATTACACTATGAGACTTTATCAAAATAAATTTTACTTACAATGGAATTATACTGTGTGTTGATACTATAACGCAAAACTGAGAGCTACGTTTATCACATATGAGAGGCAGGTATCCTTTGTAACACTTTTATACAGATTTTATGCATATTTTCCTTAAATACATGTATTCCATACACAAAAATGCCTCCTTCACGTGATTGGTTGGTTCGAGGTCATTTACTGATTGGCAGTTAATGGTGCTTAAAGTTTGACTTCGCTCTCTCCTTTCGTAAATTTTTTGTTTGAGTCTTGTTTTAGTGAAGTGTGACAGCAGTTACAAGCTGTTATGATTTTTCACCAAATTAAAACTATCTTCTAGTTCACAGTTTATGTCGGCTGATATATGTTCGATCAGTTGATTTTATCATTATTATTATTATTATTTTTACATTAAATTTTTTTTCCTTCACGTTCCCCAGTGGAACATAGGGCTTCAAGCTAGTTGCTTGAAGTTTCTGTAGCAGTGTTTTTACTTTACAGGATGGGGTTGCTAGCCTCCTGCCCGACCTTTCCTCTTCACTAGCATTATTTCTGGCTCAGCGAGGTAAAGGAGTGCGTCTGTGGCCGGGGATCGAACCCCGGACCATTGCATGGTCGGCGAGCGTCCTAACCTCCATGCCACCGACGCATTACATTATATCGTTTGTATAAATTTCGTTTTTTTTTCTCTTCTATTCACGACTGATCTTATTTCTTCGCCTATTCATCACCAGGTCGCTATTTACAAATGATGAGACTGTTACAACCGATTGCTGGAGAAGTGATGCACTGTTTATGCCAAGTATTCGATTATTATTTATATTCAGTAAGTATACAGTAATTTATTTAGTTATTAATACTTGTTTCACGTTGGTATGTGCGTTGGTGGTTCAGCGATAGGAAAGCCTACCAACCATGCATGTGATCATGGGTTCGACTCCCGCCAGGAGCACAACTTTACCTCCCTCAGCCTCTTATAAACACCCAACAAAGAGGGAAAATTGGGCATGAAGCAAACAAACCTTACTTCGTAAACACTGCGCCAAAGTTACTGAAACTTCAGAACTCAAACTTGACGCTCAATGCTCCATTCAGAATGCAGTGATGAAAATTTCAAAAAAATTATTCCTTATCTTTAGGCATATGATTTCCTTGAATAGATACTTTGACATTCATTTACGGGTTCCTTCATCCGTCGTGTTCGACTGTGAATGCCACTCAAACATAGGGTGACATGGAGAAGATCGTTTGGGCTAGGAGGAGATGAGACCCGATACGTAGTCGTGGGGCCAGCTAAAGACGACCGCGGAGAATATGACGAAGTGAAGATGTGTTGTTGAAGCCCTAAGTTCCCGTTGGAACCCGAGGGGGGCGAGAACAATTATAGAAATAGTAATAAGTGATTTCGTTCTATATTACAATTCTTCAGCAAAGGTTAGGTAATTGGGTGCGGCATATTGCCTGTACACTTGCAGTTTTTTATATTCTGGAACGAGTAAAATCGAAATGACACTGAGTTCAATACTGGGCGACATCTTTTCAAGTATCTCATATCCTGAAAAAAGCCAATTAATTTTATTCCGTATGATCAACAACAGAACAACAAGTGAAGTTGAATAACATCGATTAATGCTGGATGCCAACGAAGCAGTTTTTGGTTCTTTAAATGGTCCAGCGGATAAGGTTTTGATTTGTAAAGTGATTTACACTTTTTTCATAGCCCCAACAGATAGTAGATAATCATTAACAAAATACAAATGCACCCTACTGATGAGTCTTGAAAAAGGCTGAAATATTCCTCATACATTCCGTTACTATCTGTCGTTAAAAGCCAATAACAAATGTGTTCATTCATTTGAATGAGAAAATATTAAAACTGAGAAAATTGAAATGCATTGTGATAAAAATGTATTTCTAATATTTAAGAGTTTGTTTCAAATTTGATCACGGGTTGGTGATATCAGTTTGAGTACCAGTGAAAACCAGCACTGGAGTACTGAAAAGCCGTTTCGTCCTAGTTAGGGATTCATCGTAAGTACACACGCACCGTCACGGTTCGAACCCAGGACCTTCCCTTGAAATTATTTCCATAACTTAAACATCCCCATACATTTCTAATTGGATATTAAATGAGTTTATTTATAATAACAAACAGTAATGATAACTGGTCGACGTTTGAAGCACAATTTATTACTCATAATCATATTAATCTATTCAAATAACTTCACATATTTTATATATCCAGTATAGACGTTGCATTATTGTTATTAAACGTGTTCGGTGTTGATTCAGTGAACAAAGATTCGGTAATTCGCCTCTCTCTGTCTCTTTTCACCTAACCTGTTATTACCTCTGAACACTTTTACTCTATTTTCCACCTTATTGTTTACAAGGTGCCACTAACCTCTGTGCCACCAGCAGTGGCACAGTGGTTAGGACTCTCGCCGACCATGCACATTAACCGGGGTTCGAGCCCACGCCGATGCACACCTGATATCTATTGTCGGCCTGCGAATTTTGGGCTACCGATATCCATGCTGAAAATTCCATACTTGTACCGAAAATACGGTGTGGGATCAAGCTGTAATGCAAAATAAAAATAAATAAAGGAATGTACTGCAGTCAGTGATCGAGTTTTTCTCTAGATTGCTTAACTTAGCAGTGTCAATCGTTTTAGCTCTAGATGAATTTCTATATTCTGATAATCTAACTGACCCTGATCTACTAGTCTAACCAATTTACTTAACGTCACTGATAGTCATTACATTTTTTCCTTCATATTCCCAGTGGAACATAGGATCTCAAGCTAGTGGCTTAAAGTTTCTGTAGCAGTGTTTTTATTTTACAGGATGGGGTTGCTAACCTCATGCCCAACCTTTCCTCTTTACCAGCATTATTTCTGACTCAGCGAGGTAAAGGAGTGCGTCTGTGGCCGGGGATCGAACTCCGGACCATGTGCATGGTCGGTGAGCGTCCTAACCGCTATAGCACCGACTCACAATAGTTATTACATGGTATTTGGTAAATTATCATTTCTCATAATTGATTCACTCGGGTCCTTAAACCGATGAAGTTTGTCTCTGAGTGAGTTAGTTGGTTTAAGAATTCTACGTAATAGATTGTGCTTGAAATGTTATCCATCTATTAATAGTGTAGCCTTCACTGTGTTATATCGAATAAATTATCTATTGACTTATTATTATTTATTATTGCTCCCTGAAGTTCCTAGTGGAACATAGGGCTTCAACTGCATGTCTCCATTTGCTTCTGTCTTATGATGTACTTTTCACCTGCATCCATGTTAGTCCATACTCTTTCAACTCCTCTTCACACGATCTCCTCCATGTCACCCTTCCACTGACGTCCCACTCGCCTCTTCCCTTCAGGTTCCACTCGAACAATGGCCTGACGCGCGATGTCACCCAGCGGTCTCCTCAGAGAGTGCTCGGTCCATCTCCACTTTCTCCTGCATATTTGTTGGGCGATTGGTTCTTGCTTTGTTTGTTCCCATAGTTTCGTGTTGGTGATTCTTTCCGACCCGGCCATCTGATCTTCAGTAAAGAGCCAGTGAAGACAGTTGTTGGTTGATAAAGGTCTGTAACAGGCTGTTGGAAATATTCTTTGTGACCCGCCTACCAAGTTTCTGATCCGTATAGAAGAACTGACTTTACGTTTGTATTGAAAATCCGAATTTTGTTGTTGATGCTAAGTAACAGCGGAAGATTTCCAGATTAGATTGGTTTCAGGTTGATGAATGGGTTTCTCGCTCGCCTTCCCGATTCTCGCTTGATTTGACATCCTCGTCCGTTCCGACTGCCTGTAGTTGAGACAATGCTCCCTCTTTCAAATCCCTCCTGTTAATGGTGATTGACGCTGGATGTTGCTGCTGTTGTTGTTGGTTGGTTGGTTATTTTCATTACCTCCGTCTTGTCTATGTTCACTTGGAGTCCTATCTTCGCCGGCTCCTTCTTCGACCAGTTTGTCGGTTTGACTGGACACTAGTTATTAACTGGTGTAATCTGTCTAGTCCTTTCTTTGATGCAGACTGAATTCTGTCGATCTAATTTACAATGTTGCCACCAAACTAGAAGACTCGCCATCACAGTTCATTGTGAACTGTTGATATTGGTTGGTTGGAGACAATCATCAGTTGGAAGGAAGCCTCGGATCTATGTTTCGTACTAGTTGGTACTCGTCAGCAAGGCGTATCTGCAACCACCTTGAAGGAACTCGTCTACCTTCTGAAATTCGAACCCATATCACTCAGTGCTGCAGAAAAGCACCCATAACCCCCATGGATCTAAATCAGGATCTTCAGGTTACAAAGTGGGCTCGTTGACCGTTTAGCCACTCAACGACTCATCAGTTCTAACTTCCGCCCATTTGGGATAAATAGCGTGACTACCAGCCAGTGTCGTCAGCTGGTATGGTCAACGAGCTTGTCTTGTAATCCGGTTGTGGATGCGTACTGACGAAGAGTCCCAAACAGGGACGAGGCAGCTATCTAGTACTCTTTTGTTTTTCAGTAGTTCTCTTACAGAAGTCAACTCGTGAGCACACCTGAAATTAATCCGACTCCTGCAGACCAGCACTTGGAAATCATTCAAGCGCGCTGACTAGGCAATAAAATCGATATGAATAGAACAAAATCTAAAGGTATAAGAATGTATATGTAGACGGGTGTGTGCCTTTTTGTTTGCATGCGTCAGTTATTTTCTATGCTACTATTTTTGTCATAATGAAACAGTCTGAGAAGTCATGTGATAATAATGAATAAATGTATTACGTCATTATGACCAAAGGTGATAGTGCCTTATAATGAACTTGATCACAAAACTTCCGATTTAGATCAATCATTGATGAAGGAAGTGGATACATAGAAAGAAAAACACAAAAGTGTGAATTTGTTGATCCTGTTATGAAAGTGTTAGAATAGACAAAGTGAATACAGATAATGTGACGAAATAGTGAAGATTTGTAGCTTAAGTGGATGTTTTTGGTGGTGGTGTTGTTGTTGGTGTGTACTCTGTACTTATGGATGATAATTAATTGTACAGCTTTTATTGACCTCCTAGACAGCATCTATGTAAGTCAGTATGTCAGTCAGCGGTAGAATGCTGACTAATCACACAGGTGGTCTGGGCTAGATTTTAAGCCAACTCACTCTTTAACCGCGTCTAGACCCTACTAAGCGATAGCAATCCCAGGAAACCAGGTCAAACTAGGACGAAACAACTGTCTAGTACACCCTGCTAGTTTTCCAATGGTTCTCTAATTAATGTCAAGTTGTGATCACACCTGTAACAGAATATACGTCAGTTGTTTTCCTGAATTCTATGATTTCATGTTTTGATAATGAGAACATTGAATTACAACAAGGTCAGATGAAGTGAAGTTTTGTCCCACTGTCCTATTCGTTCCTTTGCTTTTTGAGTGGGACGTGGAGCTTTAAGGTTGGAGCTGTGAATTTTCAGTAACGGTGGTGTCATTCTAACAGAATGGAGTCACTAGCCTCACAGTCAACCTTGTCTCTTTCTTTCTGGGATTACTAACAGCCAGTGAAGGCTGGCGTCACGTCGGCTGGAGTCGAACTTGGACCAGCTTGTGTGGTTGGAGAGCACTGTGACATAGAACTTTAATAAGGACAGTTTTTCCCTTGAATCTATCTCTTCTTTTCACTTTCGTCTTTCATTTCTTCCATTTCCAGATCCTGAATCTTTTTGGTTCCCCTCAGGTTAGTTTCAAATTCTTCTTTACCTCTTTTTTTATAAATATTGATTAGATTATTTTAATTATATTCTTTTTACGTGTATCAAGTCAATAAAAAGTAATATACTCTCCTATGTCGAATTCTACCCATTTCTAAGACACTTACTGTCTAAGTACAAAGGTATCATTATGTCTCCACATGAAGTAATTAATGTCTACAAAGTGATTTATAAACTGTGGGCATTGACTGCAGTAATATGTAATTCTATGTTTATTTTGTCCATTAGATGCATCATATATTCATACATAGAGAGAGAATATCTTTGAAATATCGGTTAGAATACTAAGACTATTTGAAATAAACATAGTACACAAGCCAACACAATCACTCCATTCTATAGTGAGCAGACCAAAAGATCCATCATCAAAAGAACATACAGTCAATACCATATGCAAAATAAATTTCATGCATGAACAGCGATGAACACTACATTGGTCAAAGTGGGCGTCCCTTTCGACTAGGAATCTAAGAATACAATAAATTAGCTGTGAAAAGACACGATATATATATATTCTTTCATATTAATATATATATAGAGAGAGAGAATTATGTACTCCAATTTGATTAGGAGAATATAGAAATTTTAAACAGAGGAAACAGAATAAAAACGCCAGGGAATCACTTAAAGCCTTGTTGGGACTCAGATGATTAATCAACGGTTAAAAAGCACATTACAGTAGGTGAAATCTACCAGTCGCCAATCCCGTTAGACTTCAAACTGCGTATATCAATTTGAGTGTGTTTGTGGCAGCAAATACATAGATCGTACGGAAAGGCGATTGTCTACTCGCATGATGGAGCATTTGCCAAAATGGTTGAAAAGAGCTGAGTGCAAAGTGCCAAAATCCTCAATAACAAAACATCTTGTGGGATTACGGACATGATATCGACGCGGTCAAGTCATTCACCATTGTCATCAAACAAAGAAACAAGAAGATGCTTGCAATTGCAGAGGCAGCTTGTGCAATTCGAATTTATAAACCAGCTCTCTGTATACAAAAGGAGATGGTAGTGACTCTGAATCTACCATGGTAATACGTTTTACTTATATTCTCTACTTGTTATTACTATTATTCTACCTCTTCTTATTCTTTTTGTTATTATTATTATTATTATCATTATTATTATTCTTGATTCATTTAAAACTATCCTCTATCAGTAGGATTATCTTAACTCACTTCAACACTATTATTATAACTATTGCTATTGATATTAGTCTGTTTGCAATTCTGGTTATATTCCATAATGACTAATTGTTTATCTAAGTGATGTAATTGGAGCGTAATGCAATTTATCTTAATTCTGATCTCTCATACTCTCTCTCCCCTTATCTGTTTGAACATGACCTGGAAAACATTCTCACCTGTCTTTCTACATGACTAATTCAATGTAGTTTGTTTACTTATCAGTCTTATATCTCCCAATGTAATTTCAAAAGTATATATATCCGTGTATGTAGGGTACTGAGCAGCTGATGAGTTCTACCGAAATTTGATGAATTCAATAAATCCTGCTTTATTAACCACCTTTGTTGGCTGTTTTAAAAAATTAATCGCGTGACAAGAAAGTTCAAAATCCAAGTCACTAAAAATGTCACGACAAGGTGATGTTAGGAAATACAGTTATATAGAAAATCAAAACAAGTGATGATTCAACGAAGAGACTCTTTTCAACAACGAATTTATTATCAAGCTGTACAATCGTATATGTATATGACTTTTTCAAGAAATTGTATCCAGTTAAGGAATTGAGTCGTAGGTGTGAATGCATAAAATAATAATAATAATAATAGTATGAAATGCAATTAAAACTAAAATGTTTATGATTATAATCATAGTTAAATGTCAAGTGGCGAAACAATTATTGTCATATATAGAATAATTCATAGGATCGATAGAACTTGAAAAAGGGTGTGCAATTATAGATACATAATATTCTGTGAAATTTGTTAGCGTAAAATTTCATGTTGCAAAACAGAATTGATTTAGAATGACAAGTGGAACAAGTGAAATAATACCGGGGACAGTTCAAAATGAGAATAGTAATAGTAGTGACAATTGACGTAATAAAGGAAGAGTACACAAATTGAATAGACAAAATGAAAAATTGATAGAGCTAAAATATGATTGGAGATTACCATACTTTAGCAAAGAGGGGTTAAGACCATGAAAGTTGGAGGGGTTGAATGAAGTTTTTGTGTACACAGAGATCTGGCTTTTCTGTTTCGATAGCCAAAACTTCAGTAGTACAGATGAGTCGGGTACGCAGTGATTTGGGCAAATTACTTTTCACCTTGTAGATGACTTTAGTTGTGAAGGCTGTAGAGATAGGGTGATCATTATGAACCAAATGTTCAACGATGACGCTTCTTATTGCTCCACTTCCAACTCTTCTCAACCAGACAGGTTAGTGTTGCTGCACCCTCTTGCACAAATGTCGAGTCGAATCTTTGCAAGTTCTATACAGCCTATGAGTTATTTTATATATTCCATGGAGGATTTAATCATGAGCTGATATCAGTCAGAGAACCACTGGAAAACCTGGGAGTACTGGACAGCTGTTTCGTCCTAGTTCTCGGACTCTTCAGCAGCACGCACCCACCTGATGCTCACTAGTGACTGGCCCTATTCAGCCAGTTAACCTGGGGTCCTAGTGGGAAGCCGTGACCAGTAGGGTACAGCAGGTTGAAGATGAGGTAGTAACTCATCGACGAAGACATTGCGAAATGGTCGCGCTGTCGTGAATTGGCAGAAGTTAGAATGCAAGGACCATTTGATTGGGTCCCACTGGCTCAATGGTCTACGAGCTCGCCGTGTAACCAGAAGGTCCTGGGTTCGAAACCCGCTGTGTTGGTGCACACTAATGAAGAGTCCCGAAATAGGACGGAACAGCTGTCCAGTACTCCCAGGTTTTCCAGTGGTTCTGTAACTGATGTTAGCTCATGATTAAATCCTCCATGCAATCAAACAAAATCCCTACAAAACCAATACTTGAATATTTTATATATGACATTAATTTGCTTTGCCACTTGACTTTTAACTATGATTATAATCACAAACATTTTAATTTCATTTCATACTATTATTATTATTATTTTATGCATTCACACCTACGACTCAATTCCTTAACTGGATACAATTTCTTAAAAAAGCCATATGCATATACGATTGTACAGCCTGATAATAAATTCGTAGATTGAAAAGAGTCTCTTCGTTGAATCATCACTTGTTTTGACTTTCTATGTGTTAACAATGGGAATTTTCCATAAATACAATTATATCATTCATGGAAAATCCAAACAAGTTCATTATATACTGAAACCCGCTTTGAAGATGTTGTGTCGAAGGACAATGAAAGCTTCAAAGTTAAATCGTCTAGCAGTTTAGAGAACACAACTAAATCAAAAAGTATGAAAGTGCTAGATGTCACCATTTTGAACACAATTTTTTTATTGTTCAACATCATATCAGTGGCTAACTGCACAATTTGGTGTTGAATCATTCCTGTTTCATGTATTTTCTCTCAGTTGATTTCATAATTAAAGCTTCAGTTTAAACAAAGTTTTGAACAAACATATTCGAAGGGAGGAAAAAAAAGTGGGAACTCATGTTTTCACTTATTTCACAGTCTTTTCATTAACCACTGTGACAGTTTCGCTGTGTAAGCCACAGCTTCTTCAGCAGATTTATTCGGATTTTTATTAATCATCAAAATATTTAGTCAAAATTTTTTTTACATATATTGAAGTCATTTATCCATGGGATATTTTTACCAATAGAAATATGTAAGCAGTCCTCACATATATTTGTAATGACTAATGTTAAATTTTGGAAAAATGAAGAGCAATTAAGGAATAAGCGTGTGCACAGGTTGATTACGTAACAGATTGTTAAAGAAAATAAAACAATTTGGACAATGACAATTTGTAACTAAAGTTGAAAAAAGTTGTAAAAATTATTTTATTCTTATGACCACTTCAACTTTAGTTACAAATTTCATTGTCCAAATTGTTTTATTTTCTTTAACAATCTGTTACGTAATGTTAAATTGTTGTTGTGTTTACTCTTCTATAGTTGATTTGTAAAGATTAGTTTTGCATGAGTATGTGTGTGTATGTATGTATGTTATTTGTCATTTGGAAAATACTTGAATTCATATGTGATAAACATGTTACTTACTATATGTTTTAAAAGGTCATGGAGGCTCACAGAGTGTTTGTTGTTTTTTCATCTGTCTTGCTTCATAAGAGTTTGCCATATAGATGGTGATAAGTTTATCCCTTCTTTCCTATTCACTGCATTTGGTGTGATTAAAATGTGCAAGGCTTCCGAAGTCAATCTTTCTTTATGTGAATGAAATCCTCTTGCAAGAATTTCGACATTGTCAAAATTAATCTTATGTCCACTGTCTATCGTATGCATTGTCACAACCGATCTTTTTTCTAGACATTTTAATTCTACTTCATTTCTAGGTGGACGTTTCGTGCATAGTCTATGTTCATTCACTTTGACCTTCACCTGCCTACTGCTCTCCCCTATGTATAGCATGCTTCACAATCTGGGTACTATATCTTTGACATGCACCAACGCTTTCCCCAGAGAATTAGAAAGTTTGACATAGACTTTAATATTATATGAAGCAAATAGTCTTTGAAGTTGTTCAGCTATGTCCTTTCAATATGGAATGGCTATCGTCGATAGTTATAAGGATAAAACTTGGGCACTGTGTTAGAGTATAACTCTATTATGAATAAAATTTTAATTTGATAAAATCACACAGTGCTGTTAATAATAATAATAATAATAATAATTTTTCCTTCACGTTCCCAGTGGAACATAGGGTTTCAAGCTAGTGGCTTGAAGTTTCTGTAGCAGTGTTTATTTTTATAGGATGGGGTTGCTATCCTCATGTCCAACCTTTCCTTTTTACCAGCATTATTTCTGGCATAGAGAGGTAAAGGAGTGCGTCTGTGGCCGGGAATCGAACCTAGGATTATATGCATGGCTGGCGAGCGTCCAAACCACTGTGCCACCGACGCACAAACAAAGTACTGTTATACAGTAATATTTACTCCAAAGATATATAGTAGAGAAACGTGGATGACACTTGCACAGGATTAAAAACAGAACATACCTCCAGCTTTTTTCACACATAGTAAGCTTCACTAGTATAGGGAGTAAAATTCGCATTTGAATCGGTAAATTAACAAGGAGAATTAGTTACGGTATTAGATTGGAAAGTAAAACGAATAGAAGAAGGTAAACTGCACACTAGAATTTATAAAAAGCCAATGCATTCTGCTAATAGATATTCAGACTTTAATTCATCTCATCCGTTGTCTGTCTGTAAAAGCAGGCATAGTTAAATGTCTAACAAACCGAGCAGTATTGCTGAGTAGTACAGCAAAACCTAAATGATGAAATGAAACAGATCGAAGCAGAGGCATTGGTGTTAAATAACTATCCTATAAAATTCATTAGGAAGATCAGAAAAGGTCAAAAGCAAAGTAACAGTAATTGTGAAAATAGTAATGATAACATAATTAAGAGAGAATGTAAGGCATCTACAGTTATACCATATAAGGAGGGGACATCTGAGACCCTAGGTAGGCTAAAAGACCCAGGGGAACCAATTAAACAATAATATTATTTACAAAATACCTTGCAATCAATGTGAGGTCAACTAAATAAGTCAAACTAGTTGCACTGCATGCATTAACACACAACCACACAATAGGGTGGGTGGGACAGGGTTAAAATTCTAAGAAGTAATATAGGCAGATGGAGAAAGAGAGGTTGATTACTGAATCCTTGTTCATCTAGTCTACACCCAACACATGTGACAGAAGTGACTCAATGTAAATACCAGAGATATGGAAGATCTTATTATCAGTCAAATCAGAGGACAATAAATAATGTTAAAATGTATTCAATTTATATTCTAACAGTTTATTTGTTTTACTATAAAAACGTCTTATTTCTTATCTTATTGTATTTCTATTGATAACACTAATATTATTTCCCAATATACTTTACCTTATATTGATTTTATTCAAATGTCTAATTAGTTTTTACTCACGTATGTAAACGAAGCAAGATAGTTGTGTGAGAGTACCTTGATATGATTATGAGCTGCAGTAATCAATTGTGCTCGAAATGTGGTTATCAGTGAATGTTACTGTATAACACTACACTGTGTGATTTTATCAAAATAAAATTGTATACATAACGGCATAGTTATAGAAGAAGAGATATCAATAAAAGAATTTATTTGGGTATAAGATTTGAAACAATTAGTCCCCTTTTTATAAATTTGGATACTGTTGTTATCAGAAGACGGAGAATATCTGAAAATGGTGATGTGTTGTGTTTGTATAATAACATTTCGAACAACAATCTGATCCCTCAAACATTCACTTTTTCAAGTCAATTTATATAAAAAGTGTGAAAGGCCAATTAAAATACAAGAACAGAGCTTGAGCTCAACTCATCCATATTGTTAAGATAAACGAGAGTATTTCTGTATACCATTAAATTATCCAAGAAGTCTGCGAGTTCCTCGGAGTTATCATTTAATTGCGCCCCATCACCTTTAACGGTCTCAAAAATACTACGGGATATCATAAATGGCCTTCCAAACCTTTGACGTAGCATCATCATAGCTTCTGTATATCCTTCGTTGCGTTGATAATCCGTGTCCAAAAATGCTGGTGGCAGACTAAGTAAGTACTCTCCAAAGAATTCCAGAAGGCGCCCCAGAAAACGACCAGAAGTATAAAAACTATCGAGGAACATAACCATAAGTTCCTATTACTTCCGAAGACGCTCCGAATCGACAATTATACTACGTACGATTATTGACTTTAACCCCAAAACACAAGGACCAATAAGAAATTGTATTTTTCGGCGGCTAAAATCAACACTCTGTACAAAGTCTCTAAACAAATGTTTTACAAAAAATACAATGTACTTTTCAAGTGTTGGTTTGTAGGGATTTGATTGGTTTCAGGATTTCATCATGAGCTGACATTAGTTAGAGAATCATTGGAAAACATGTGAGGAGTACTGGACAGCTGTTTCGTCAGCCTAGTTTGGGACGCTTCAGCAGTACGCACCCACCGGGATTCCATCCCAGGACCTTCCGGTTACAAGGCGAGCTCGTATAAACTAGGACGAAACAGCTGTCCAGCACTTCCAGGTTTTCCAATGGTTCTCTAACTAAAGTCAGCTCATGATGAAATCCTGTAACCAATCAAATCCCTACAAACCAACACTTGAATACCAATGAGATGCTCACTGGCGACTGGCCCTATTCAGGTAGGTAGTTACCTGGGTTCCAGTGAGAAGTCGTGACCAGTAGGGTGCAGCAGGTCGAGTGTGAGGACAAATACCCGCCGAAGACATTGGCTAGCGGTCGCGCTATGTTGTGAATTGGCAGAAATTAGAATTCATGGGCCATTGGATTAGATCCCAGTGGCTTAATGGTATACGAGCTTGCCTTGTAACCAGAAGGTTCTGGGTTCGAATCCCGGTGAGTGCGTACTGCTGAAGAGTCCCAAACTAGGACGAAATAGCTGTCCAGTACTCCTCACATGTTTTCCAATGCTTCTCTAACTAATGTCAGCTCATGATGAAATCCTGAAACAATGTACTTTTATTCGTATTTTTTTCGTCTTCCTCCAACTTGTGCACGACTGAACCGTTTGCCCGCCAATGACGACCAAGGCCAATGAACCAACGTTCAATGTTCAAGTTCATTTACACTCCACGAAAAAAAGGGTCCATCCTTTTTTCCATTGCGCCGATAACCTTGAACTGAACTGCCAACGCGGGAACCTGGGCCAACTGGGACTAGGCTGAGATGGAAAACAAGACAAAACAGCCCAACACACATCAAGCAAACTACATCACACTAGTACGCCTCCCGTCGTGTAGGATTTTCCTCAGTGATTGAAACTTCCTTCGCTCTCTGTCGACAGTACCACCACTGATCTGGTCTTTGGAGTGTTGGTTGCTTCATGTCACTCCCCCCGACGTATCGAATCGCGTACAATGACTGTAACACCATTCAATTTGTTCACAATTGTAGAAGACTAGAAACGACTTCAGAAGTACTTACAGTAGCATTACAGGATGACTCACACAATGTGAGTGAGAGTGAAAATAAATGATAAATAAGTGTGAGTTGTAATCAGAACAAGTAGTTGTGACGCAACAGAAACACAGGAACAAGAAAGAAACATCTAGTTACTATCTTTATTGATACAGGTATTTGGTTGAAATCTTTTGATAGCAATGGTATCTGCGGTGATAAATAGCCAGGGTTTCTCACTGAGCTAAATTCATTGTAAATTTTCCCATTTACTTAATTGGTTGCTAACTTGGTGATCTTATTTCTACTTATCTTTACGAGTTGATCACGGATTGATATCAGTTAGAGAACCATTGAAAACCATCCAGGGAGTACTGGACAGCTGCTTCATCCTAGTTTGGGAATGATCGACAGTACGCACCCACCACCAGGGTTCGAACTCAGGACCTTCCGGTTGCAAGGCAAGCTCGTATACCATTCAGCCACTGGGACGCGATTCAGCGATCAGCCCATGAATTCTAACTTCTACCAATTCGTGATGTAGTGCGACCCAGCCAATGTCGTCCTTGGGAAATCCATCCTCACATTGACTGGATGGTCCTCACTGGTTACGACTTCTCACTAGAACCCCAGGAAAATCCGTCCTATAGCAAGTCACTAGCGAGCATCAATTTGTTTGTAAGGATTAGTTTTGTTTTTACGAGTTGATTATGGGTGCGTACTGCCTATGATTCCCAAACTAGGACGACGAAACAGCTGTCCAGTACTCCCTGGATGGTTTTCAATGGTTCTCTAACTCTGATATCAATCCGTGATCAACTCGTAAAAGCAAAACTAATCCTTACAAACCAACTATAAAAAACTTTTACTTATCATTAATTTTTACTGCCACCCTTTCTTTTCGAACCTTTTATCATCTTATATGTTTGGATAAACTCTTGCAGAAAGATTATTAACACTATTTGTAGTTATATATCTTGTTCTGTCATTTTCATCCTGTGAGTTGAATTAATTTTTGAAGTATACTCCATATTTTTGCAATTACAATAATTTGTGTTAGTTTTTAGACCGTTAGCAGTTGGCGAAAAGCTGTGAAATAAGAGAAAACATAAGCCCTTTCTTCTTTCTCTCTCTCTCTCCTGAGAATATGTTCGTTCACACTTTGTTCAAACTACTCAAGGGAACTGATTGCATGAAGGCTTCACTGTTATTGATTCCTCTCTCCACACTGTTATTATATTAGATTTTAGAACTGTCATGTTGTCCCATCATATTGTTTAATTGTGTGTAACTGCATGAAGTGCTATCGATGAGGTATGAAGTTATTTATCGAATCAGCTAAGAATACATAAGACAAGAATGATTCAGCCACTGCGTCTAACATCTCTGGAATTATGAATTGCGCTTACAAACTATCAAATTCTTAGATGTAAGTCAAGCGAATGTCTTTCCCCCTTAGCCTGTTAACATCTGAGATAGAGTGTCATGATGTATAGGTGTTTTGGCGTGCACTAACTTGCACACAGACATTGTAACTAACATGTTCTACTGTTTCGTAATTCATCTTGAGTAGTAGCCTTGCTCATCCTAATCATGTTGGAATTTTTTAAATTTTGAGTAATGACAACTTAGCGAAGCCTTTGGATGCATCATACCATGCATGGGAAGTGAGAAGACAGGAATATGTTAAGTCAATACGAAGACTCTAATAGATCTGGACTTCGCGGCTGATTGATGTCTTATGTCACATAAACTTGAAGATATAAAGGCGAAAACCAGCAGCGAAGACTGGGATTCAGATGAATATACAGAGGAGAGAGATGATGAAGACAACTAACAAACAACAGGCATCAATCGCTGTCAACGTCAGAAATCTAAAAGAAGTCACCTCTTTCACCCACTAGAACAGGCGGTGTCGTTTCAGAATGTTAATAGAAGCCAGGATCAGAAACCCAAGACAGACCTGCACTCACCGTGAGGAACAAGATCCATGAACTTCACTACTAATACCAAATCAATCCTACTATTTGGTCAGAAACTTAGCGCACGTGTCACGAAAAGCATTTCCAACAAGCCAGTGGAGACTTTCATCAACAACAGCTGCCTTCACTGTCTGCATGATGAAGATAAAATGGCTGATCAGAAAGAATTTGTAACAATAAACTATGGGAACCAAGTAACCGAGGACATATTGCACAACTAATATGCCGAACAAAATCTAGGTGGATTGAAGACAGGCTGAGGAGACCGTTGAGTGACACTACGTGCTAGGCCCTCTGGTGGAATCCTAGTGGGAGACGGTGAGTTGGGCGTCAGAGGGTGATATGGAGGAGTTGGAAGCTTAGGGAAGTTGTGGAACAAGCCGAAGAGGACTACAGAGAACAGGACAAAATATGGCTTTGCTGTTGAAGCCCTGTGTTCTACTCTCAACCAAAGGGAATAATAATAATGATAATCACTACAAACTAATTGATTATTTTCATCGGTGCCCCATTAGCCACCTATTTATTTCCACTAAGTGGTCCTAATCTGTCAATTGGGGGAGGAGCGAGAGGGTCGTCTTTCTACCATGTGGAAGTAGATTTGTCAGTACAGTTCCATACAAAACAGATGGGGAGAATTTCAAATAAGTAAAATGCAATCGATAACCTAGGTGGTAGCATTGTTGTAATATGTTCTGAAAGATTTTTATTTCAGCTCATATTACCTTGTGATTTATAAAATGAATGGAGGATTTCATCATGAGCTGACATCAGTTAGAGAACCACTGGGAAACCTGGGAGTACTGGACAGCTGTTCCGTCCTATTTCGGGACTCTTCAGTAGTACGCACCCACCAACAGGGTTCGAACCCACGACCTTTTGGTTACAAGGGAGCTCGTATACCATTAAGCCACTGGGATCCAATCCAATGGCCTATGAATTCTAACTTCTGCCAATTCACGACACAGCGCGACAATTTCGCAATGTCTTCTTCGATGAGTTACTGCCTCATCTTCAACCTGCTGTACCCTACTGGTCATGGCTTCCCACTAGAACCCCAGGTTAACTGGTGAGCATCGGGTGGGTGCGTGCTACTGAAGGGTCCGAGAACTAGGACGAAACAGCTGTCCAGTACTCCCAGGTTTTCCAGTAGTTCTCTAACTGATGTCAGCTCATGATGAAATCTTCCATTCAATCAAACAAAAACAGAAATCCCTACAAAACCAATACTTGAAAATTTATAAAATGGTTAAAGGATTGCAAAGTAGAAATGAGCAGTCATCATTCAGTGGATTTTTGGTTTTCTGGGATTTCCACTCTCCTTACAACATTTTATATTTTTGTTTTCATTATTTATCTATCTGTTATTATTGTTGTTGTTGTTTAGATTTCCAATTCAGCTGAACTTCCAGAACGTCTTCGTACAACATTGAAACGAATCAATGAACGATTAATAGCAGTGGATGGTCATCCAAGTGTATTAGCAGGGGTTAGTTATTACACTTTTCAATCACAATATTATCATGTATATATGCTGATGTCATTTTAGTAACACTATTCTGGGGTTTTTGTGCAAGGAACTAATACCATATCAGTTAAGAGGTCTGACAGATTAGTTGTTTGGATAACTCTGTTGATAACCTTGAAACCATTGCTTTGGATCTCGTGGTTACTCAACCTTCTTCTTTCAATCTTAGTGAGTCACTAATCATGCAATGCAAATATTATTTTAGCATAACTCAAAATCACTCTAGCATTGGGGATTAAATCACAGAATCTTCACAAAACTACGCACGCGATCCCGGTTCGACTCCTAGCCGAAGTAGGTATAAACCTCGTCTAGTTTACTAGCCAAATGTAATCCCGAGAAAGAGCGAAGGTAGGACGTGAGGCTTACAAACCCACCTCGCAAAATTCCACCGCTACGCTACTGAGACTTCGCAGCCAGAGGTTGAAGTCATATTGAAAAGAAAAATTGCTTTTTCTCTTAATTTCAGTCCAGAGACTCATATTGATCGAGTGAGTCGAACAACTAGTCTGGAAATAAGCTAATCATAATTTACTCTACGTGTTAAATTTGAACTAAGCCCCTTCCGTAGACCATTAAACCACTAGGAGACGATCCAATGGCCCATGAATTCCAACTTCTGCCGACTGCTGTTTTAACTGTCTGTGCTGGTTCAACTTCTGAAATATAAAATTAATCTTCTCTTACATTGATGGATCCCTAGAAAGTAATTCGCAGAAGGTTTACTGCGTCTCTTATAACTTAATAAGGCTGTTTATAACCATAGCATTTGACAGCTTACATTCGGATCTTTCAATGGGATAGCATTCTCCCCAAATTTGTAGATATATTCCTTTGATGATTATAAAAACGTACGGAACTGGAATTTCAGGTCTTCGTGCTCATTTTCCTCTAAATAACCCTTTTAAGCCCTCTGATTGATAATGAGCACTGCGTTTTCACATATTCATCAATAACACCCACAATATTTGAATCAGCCACAATGCAGATTCCCCTTTCAACTACACCCACCATAGGGTTAATTAATTTTTCCATTATGTAATTATTATTGACAATAGACTTCTTCAAACTTGACATACTTTTCGTCTGTTAGTTTTGTATATAGTCTCACTATGAAAGAAGGAACTATATTTATATTCATAATAATAATAATAGTTTGATTCAAGCTTGATTACGGTTGCTTCGTCCTAGTCTGGGACCCATCGGCAGTACATATCCACCGCCACGGTTTGAACCCAGGACCTTCCGGCTGCAAGGCGAGCTCGTAGACCATTTAACCACTGGGACCCTACCCAATGACCGCTCCATGAATCCTAACTTCTACCTATTAGTGATTACAGTGCGCCCACCTGCCAATGCCATCGGCGAGCATTTATCTTCATCTTAGGCCTGACACTCTTGATTTTGACACTCACTGCCGTGTATTAGGAGTCTCTGGGGTAGCTTTGATGACTTTCGACGATAACAGATATATCTGGTTGACAGAAACCAATAAGGTATGAGATTGCAATTGAAACAGAATTCCCGGGATTTCTATCAACCATCTCATATTACATCCAAATCATTTAAATATTGTCAAAGAGAAGAAGAGAAAGACTATCTCATTCATTTTGTTTACTTTATTCTATTTACAGGATCGTTTCTCCTTGCCATTACGTGGACCTATTGATTTATTTAATACCTGCAATTCACCTACTGAAATCAGTTCAACAGTGACCGGCACAAATGGCGCTGAACGTGAATGTCAACTAGTACATTGTCTACAGATATATGTTGTCTCAGTGGAGTCAGTTATTTGTTTAGCAGATATATTAGAAACAGTAAGTTTACCTTTATTATTATCATCATCATTATTTTCACATTGTTTGATATAGTTAAATTTAATCGTGGCCTTTCAATGCTTTAAATCGGTTAGTGTACTATGCATTATAGAATGGCAGTCAAATCTCTACCTGAACTTCATCGACTTTGAAAAAGCCTTCGATAGCACCGACTGTGACTTACAGGCTGAAACTGCGAAACTGGCAAAAGAAGCAACAATGGCAGGAATTCAAGTTACACACAGCCAACAACAACAACAACAAGCATCAACCACTATGATCGGAAGAAATTTGAAAGAGGTCACTGCCTTCACTTACCTAGAAAGCATCCTGTCAACTAAAGGCGGTGGCACATATGAAGATGTGAAGGCAGATCGAAATCGGAAAGGCATGACAGACTTTCATCACTCTGAAACACAATTCGGATTTTCAACACGAATGTGAACTCACTCAGTTCTTCTATATGGATCTAAAACTTGGCGGCCAATTCACGAAAAGCATTTCTAACAAGCTACTGCAGACGTTTCTTGACAACTGCCTTCGCTGGCTCCACACTGAAGATCAAATAGCTGGCTGGAAAGGATTAACAAGAAGAAACCCTGGGAACGAACCAACCAACAACCAACTGCTCAACCAATATATGGAAGAAAATAGAGATGGATCAGAGGCACGCTGAGGAGACCATCGAATGACATCTCGCGCCAGGTCATCGCTCAAGTGGAACCGGAATGGAAAAAGACGCGTTGAGTATGAGTCTCAGAGTGATGTGGAGGTGATCATGCGACTAGAAGGCGTGAGACTACGGACAGTCGTGGGGTCAGCTAGAGGGGATCACAGAGAATATGACAAAGTGGAGATGTGCTGTTGAAGCCCACTCGGAACCCGAAGGAATAAGACTAATATCATGTTTTGTTATTGATATTCACTGGGATTAAAATTAACTTCATCATGTGCGGTAACCCTTATTAGCTTAAGATTATTCGACTTTCTCCCTAATATATCCCGGGTTCAAATTTTTCCACTCCAACCTACTTTTGTCTGAGCAACTGGGTAGATATCATCATCAGTCCTATCATATATATATTTTCCACTATGGATAAAATTTGTTTTGATAAAGTCTCACAGTGTTATACAGCAACGTTTACTGATGACGTTTCGACCACAATTTATTGCTACTCATAATCATATCAAGGTACTCACACGACTTCCTAACTTCATTTATATAGTTCCATTATTTTTCACTTGATTTTTGCTTGATTTGATTGTTAGTAGTATTTTCCATATTTCAGGTATGAGTGATGAATCATTCCTATTGCATGTGTTGGATGTAGACTCGATGAGCAAGGGTTCAGTAATCAACCACCTCTCTCTCTCCACCTACCTAGATTACTTCTTAGAATTTTAACCCTGTCCCACCCCATTATGCGGTTGTTTGTTATTGCATGCATGCAGTGCTATTGCTGAGCTTTTTTCTAAATTACTTATCTTCTCGGGGTCAACTCTTCTTATCTTAGCTAAATTCTTATGTTCCGACAATATGATTACCGGATTTCATGATGAGCTGACATTAGTTAGAGAACCAGTGTCAGCTCATGATGAAATCCGGTAGTCAGATTGTCGGAACATAAGAATTTGGCTAAGATAAGAATCATCGAAAATACCCATTGAGTCATTAAGAAAATAAAAGACAGATTCAGAGAAGAAAATTTTCTTTATCGACGAAATCATCTTCGGAGGCTGTACAATCGTATTTATACTTACAAAATATATATACAGTGGTCTATTATTGAGTAATAGAGAATGACATTTTTTTCCTTCACGTTCCACAGTGGAACATAGGGCTTCAAGCTAGTAGCTTGAAGTTTCTGTGGCAGTGTTTATTTTACAGGATGGGGTTGCTAGCCTCATGCCCGACCTTTCCTCTTCACTAGCATTATTTCTGGCTAAGCGATTTAAAGGAGTGCGTTGGCCGGGGATCGAACTCCGGACCATGTCCATGGTCGGTGAGCGTCCTAACCACTATGCCATCGACGTACCTGATTCATAGTGATACACACCCATTCACTGGGTATTGGTTTTCAGGAGAACCGAACACACCCATCCCTGCCTCTTGCGAGACGAGACCGGCATGCAGGATTATCCTGTGGCGCAACCACTCGAGAGCCCTCTCCCTCGGTGGACATAATTGATATAATTACTCAGAAGTGGCTTTAGAAGTGAAAATTAAAAGTTGTAAATTACGTGGTACTCAACGGCACAAAGATAGAAATTTGATAAGGTTAAAATTGCTATTCAATGAGAATAAAGGTGATAGTTGAGTGTAAATTTAACAAGTATGAAGAGGGTGTGAAAATATACTAAAGGAGCATCTGAGAGTGATTATAGTGAATTAATTATTAAAGCAAAAGCAAACTAAAAGTAAAATTAAAAAGAAAAGAAAAAATCCAAATTTTTTTTACAGGGAACGATTAGTGAAGAGGTAAGACCAAGGGAGAATAAGTGACTGGACTAACTTTTTCTGTATACAGAGTTCAGGGTTGTATTGATGAATTGCCGACGCCTCCGCCATACTTAAAAGCCGAAACCTGACACCCTTTGTACCATTTGGCTTCACTTTGTAGATGATCTTGATAGACGACTCTGAAGGAGCTACATGGCTTGAGTTCACCAAGTGCTCGAGAATTGAGCTAGTAATTGTCTTGCATTGTCCTTCTTCAGTATTTGTGTTATCTTTCCTTCAATTTATTCCGTTTAGCCTTTCTGGTTACTTTTCTTTGAGTATTTGTTTTAATCTGACATGACGGATAACATTTTATCGATTCAGTCTTGGCTATTCATCAGGACAATGCCAGCACCTTTATCATGGCCGGTCAGAACCAAGTCTTTATTCCTTAAAAGCTCACGTAGTCGCTTTCTACGCTCGGCTGCAATAAATCTTTTTTTACTTCTAATGCTACTTCGGAGTAATTTTATCAATTATTTATTATTATTATATATTATTGGTAAATATAAATACGACTGCACAGCCTCTGAAGATGATTTCGTCGATAAAGAAAATTTTCTTAGCTGAATGTGTCTTTTATTTTCTTCATGACTCATTTGATATCGTTGAATCAGCCAATTAAAGAGATTCCATCACAAACTTGGGCTCATTCTTGGCCTTACAAAAAAAAGTCAGTGAGTGTATGCAATGTTTTTGAACTCAGAGGTCCAGTTTCAGATCCTCGATAGGCAGTGATTAGGCTACGCATAAATGGCGTATTCTAATTCCTGTCGTGCGATATTAGGGAACTAAGTTTAGCATTGTAAGGCAGATATGCAGGGGTAACTGATACTCACAGTTGATATCGTTTTGGAGAATGGAACTACTGGTATTCTTCTTTTATCCTCTGACTAGCCAGACTGGACAGTGGCCCAAAGTCCTTTCTCAGACTCGACAGTGTGTACAGCCTATGTTATATTGTTTCACATGGACGAGTAAACTAATAAATACACTCTGGTGAGCCCAAGAGCGGTATCGTAGCCTTTACGGATGATTGGATTGAAGGTCTCCTGTAGAGTGTTATTCGTTAGGTAGTTGCTTGAAGTGTCTCCTTCAAACATTTAGAAAGGCGATTCCCAAGAACTTCTGCTTCAATGTCATCTTCGATCTCCAGATTCATGAAGATATTTTTCTTAGGAACAGTTGCAGCTTTCAGTAACGGAGGTGTTTCTCTCATTTGTAAAGAATAGAACGATTTTTCCGATCTTTGAGCACAAAGAACATACTAGATTTGGCTTTCTGTCTAGCTGAACAAAGGCTCTGGAAGGGGATGAATTGTCCAGTCCACGTTGGTTCTCAGTATATTGGTCTTTGGAATGAGTTTTCTTGTCTTCTAGTGGGTAACCCATCCAGAAAGGGAAAAGGTCCATTTCATTCTCCTTCGAGAAAGAATTTTATCAATGGATGTGCTGAGTTAAAAATGTTAGGGAAATCGTCTAGATCGAAGTTTTCCTGGTAAATCATAAAATTATCATCTACATATCTTTTGTAGAGGTGTGACTGACTCATCAAAGGATCGACACGAAACAGTCACCTAAGAGTGAACCATAAAGAGACCCCGTAAACCACACCATCTTTCCGTACGAAGAATTGTCCGTTGGAATTGAATTCATTGTTGAAGTTACATCTAAGAAGCAATTCGTTCAAGTAGTTGGTAGGAAGAAGAATTTCTAAGTTTTTGGATTTGAAGCAGTCACATATGAAGCCTACTGTCTTAGTTAAGGAGACTCTTGCGACATTTGTGCGTTGAAGTTTCTGTAGCAATTTGGTTAAGTTTTGGGGGTGGAGTTGCTGGCACCACGCCCCAACCCTCCGTCTTTATCCGGGCTTGGGACCGGCTAGAAAACTAGCGAGCTAGGAATCTAGGCTAGGTTAATATCGAAGACTTACAAGCGAAAACCGACAAACTGGTAGAAGAAGCAGTAAAGATAGGACTCCAGGTGAACATAGACAAGACGGAGGTTATGCAAATAACCAACCAGCCAACAACAACAACAGTAGCAACATCCAGCGCCAATCACCATCAACGGGAGGGATTTGAAAGAGGTGACCTCATTCATGCACTTATCTAGGGAGCATTGTATCAACTACAGGAGGAACGGACGAGGATGTCAAATCGAGAAGGTGACAAACACATTCATCAGCCTGAAACCAATCCGGAAATCTTAGTCACTCAGCACCAACAACAAAATTCGGTAGGATTTTCAATACAAACAACGTCAAGTCAGTCAGTCCTTCTATACGGACCAGAAGCTTGGCGGGTCACAAAGAATATTTCCAACAGCCTGTTGCAGACGTTGCCTTTATCAACAACTGTCTTCGTTCTATACTGAAGATCAGATGGTCGGCCAGAAAGAATCACCAACAAGAAACTATGGGAACAAACAAAACAAGAACCAATCGCCCAACAAATATGCAGGAGAAAGTGGAAATGGATTGGACACTCGCGGCTGAGGAGGCCGCTGGGTGGCATCGCGCGTCAGGCCATTGTTCGAGTGGAACCTGAAAGGGAAGCGGCGAGTGGGACGTCAGTGGAAGGGTGACATGGAGGAGATCGTGTGAAGAGGAGTCGAAACAGTATGGACTAACATGAATGCAGGTGAAAAGTACAGCAGAAGGAAGACAGAAGCAAATGGAGACGTGCAGTTGAAGCCCTATGTTCTACTAGGAACCCAAGGGTACAATAATAATAAGGAGACCCTTGTAAACATGGAAATAATATCTAGAAACAGCACTTAGTGTTCAAACAGTCCAACATCTTTTACTGATTTGATGAAATCAAATGTCTCTTTAAGACTATAACTTGTCACAGTATCCGATTGCTTTTATGAATTTTTCGTTAAGTATAAATACGATTGTGTAGCTCTTGAAGATGAATCGTTGGAAAGAAAATTTTCCTCACTATTGCGTCTTCGTTTGTTTATGACTGTATATGGGAATTTTTCCTTCATATCTGCATATGGTGTTAGATTTATTACTTATGTTTCTGTATATACAGTGGTCAGATTGTAATCGTCTGATAGCAATGGCTTATGCAAAATGAAGTAATCAATGTTTCTTCTAATATAGATTGATTGACCTCGACAGTCTGGAATTCATATAAACTGATTATTATATGGTTACTGCTTTAAGGCTGAGTACAATCGTCGTCATTCTGAACATCTCAATGATTTTTTATGAGTCATTCAAATTTCACCATCGACTCCTTCATTCACCGATAAATTAGTTAGAGAGTTATTTAAAACCAATGAGCAATGGACAGCTGTCTCGTCCCACTATGCGACTCTTCAGGAGTATTCATGGATGACTCCACTATGAATTGATTTCCGGACATTCAGGTATAATAACTGAGCGAGCAATCTGACCATCCACCTAATAATTTTGAATTCATTTGAGGCAGCATCACCACCAACCAGTATTATCGACAAGCATCCGACTGAAATCCAACACGGTGGATCCCATTGGCTAAGTCTTCTCACGAAGAACTTCAAGGTAGATACACCTCCTAAAACTGTTCATTAATGATTAATTCCAATGTAGATTTGTTCTGTGTATACTTCAATTTTTCAAACAAAGAAACAGATGGATAGAATACACAAAAGAATGGTAGACACTATTGTTTGGGTCTGATAAACAGAAAACTTTTGTTTTCATTAGCACCATCATAAAAATATTTAAAAAAAAACAACAACAACAAATGAAACTGTGAACTTTTGTTTTTGTCTGAAATATTCACTTCTTTTTTTACAAGAGAAAGAGATGCAGGGAGAGAGAGAGAGTATAAAGTGAACAAACCAGACCTTGTGTCTCAGTTCATAATCGATTACGATTGTTTAGTGTTCATTAAAATTAGGTTAGTACGTCAGCTGTTGTTCAGTGGTAGAATGCTCGCTAACCATACATGCATGTTCTGGAGTCTATTCACACCGAAACACTCTTAAGCTGTGTCTAGTCTCCTAGCCGATTATAATCTTAGCAAAGAGTCCCAAACTAGGACGAAACAGCTGTCCAGTACTCCTCACATGTTTTCCAATGGTTCTCTAACTAATGTCAGTTCATGATGAAATCCTGTAACCAATCAACCTAATCCCTACAAACCGATACTTGAATACCAATGAGATGCTCACTGGCAACTGGCCCTATTCAGGTAGGTAATTACCTGGGGTTCCAGTGAGAAGTCGTGACCAGTAGGGTGCAGCAGGTCGAGTGTGAGGACAAATACTCGCCGAAGACATTGGCTAGCGGTTCCGCTATATCGTGAATTGGCAGAAATGAGAATTCATGGGCCATTGGATTGGGTCCCAGTGGCTTAATGGTATACGAGCTTGCCTTGTAACCAGAAGGTCATGGGTTCGAACCCTAATGGGGTAGGTGTGCACTGATGATGAGTCCAAACTAGGACGAAATAGCCGTCCAGTACTCCCAGGTTTTCCAATGCTTCTCTAACTGATGTCAGCTCATGATGAAATCCTGTAACCAATCAACCAAATCCCTACCAACCAATACTTGAAAGACTAAAGGTTGGGCTTGAGGTAGGAATCTCACCCAGTAATTACAACAACAACAACAACACTGCCACTACTGAAATGTCAAGAATCAGGCTTGAAGCCTCATGTTCCATTCGGAATGCATAGAAATGAAAAATAATCAGATTAGTAAGCTTGATGTGCATTGAAATTGTTTAATCCACTATAGACCATACTAGGAAACTTCCTATGTAATTATTTAGAATTAAGTGTAAAGTGTAAGCTCCATGTACTGTTATTTTTCACTTGTTTCAGCTTAAGCCGAACCGGACCTAGAACCTTCACACTGCGAATTGAATTTATTGACCAATCAGCCATTGAGATAGAATCCAATAGCCCATGGATTCTAGCTTCTGCCAGTTCGCCACTTGAAAGTTAATTTAATGCTCACTAATGGCTATCTACAGGATGGTATCCCTGGCGTTCTAGTAGGAAGTCGTGACTAATGGTGGGTTACACTGAGTTGTCGGTTGTAATGACAGATATTTACCTTTGGCATTGTCAGTATATGTGTCGCAAATCGACAAAAGTTGGAATTCATAAGCCGTTGGGTTCCATTCAATTGGCTGAATAGCTAATGGACTCATCACCTCATAAAAGCTGAATATCCAGGGCGCGTACAACCGAAGAGTTAAAAGTAGGACGGAACACCTGTGCAGTACTGCCTGGCTTCCATTGATATCAGTTTGTGGGCGAACTTGAAACCAATCAAATACCTACTGAGTAACACCTGAAAATAATTATCTTCGTAGTTAAATAGTGTTTCAAGTTTGGTGTGTGTGTCTAATTTATTGAAATTATTCGACTTTCAACCAATAGGCGATGTGTTCGAATGATACTTGAGTTACTCAGATTAAGGAATGCAGAGGAGACGAAGGTGCATAGACTTTGAAAGCTTTTTCTTCCCCTCGTAGGAGGCTTTTGTTGAGATGGAATGACCAGTGGTGACACAGTGTTCAAGAATAATATCCTGCATTGTTGCAGAAAGGTTGTAGGGGCTCATTTCTATAAGTAGTGTGATAATTGAATACCCTGTCAATGTTGGATATTTACATATAAACAGGAATTAAGTACTGACGAATACTATGAAAATATCCATTCAGAAGAGTTGGTTGACAAAGTACATTTCTTATTCATTGTTACGGTTATTAACCTCTCTTATGTGTTCTCATTCCCGCTTATCAATAAAATAATAGAGATAATTTGTTTAAAAAAAGACCATTCTTTTTTCATTTTACTTATAAATACTGGCTCTGTCTTATTTTTCACATTAATTTAGGTCCTTCTACCACATTTAACAGCTTGTCTACCAGATAATAAACGTGGTCTAGCACTTGTATTCCGTGAACAATCATTAATGGCAGCTCGACAAATTCGTGAACCTTGTGCCACGGGATTAGCACCACAATTATTAAATATCATAATACCTAAGTAAGCAAAGATTTTATATTATTTTCATTATTACTGTTTCTTTGGATCCTGAGTGGAAAATAGGGCGTCACTTGCACATCGCCATCTCACTCTGTTCTCTAGAGTATTTTTTAGCTAGCGGCACGACCGCCTACAAGCTTCCATTTTCTCCTGATACGACCTCCTTCATGCCAACCTTGTGCCTACGCCCAACACATCGTTACTCCTTCAAATTTCTCTCCACGGTCTGGTACATGATGTCACCCAGCGGTCTCCTTAGCAGGTGTCCAATCTACCTATGTTTCCTTCCACATATTTGTTGAACACTTGGTTCTTGGTCGCTTCGCTGCTTGCCAGAGTATCTTGTTGTTAATCCTTATGGCTATTTAAGCTTCGGTAGAGAATCAAGGCAACTATTTGACGAAGATCTTCAGCCTATTGGAAATTTTTATGATATATTTACTTTACTCCTTTACCTTTTGAGTGGAACATACGGCTTCAAGCTTTGAAGTTTCATTGGTAGTGGTTCCATTTTTTACGGGGCAGGGTCGCTAGTCTCACGCTTAACCTTCCCTCTTTACCAGCGGCCTTACTTACCGGCTTAGCGAGGTGTAGGAGTGCATCTGCAGGGGAATGAACCCCGGACCATTTTGGTGGTTGGTAAGTGTTCGACCGCTGAACCACCAAAGTAACCAGCCTTATGGAAATGCTTGACATGATTGCTTTAAATACCAATAGTATTCAGCAGATTTCCACACTGATTTCAGTTCACTAAGAGACTGTTTTGCTTGTCGGATCTCGGTTGCCTGAGACATCCTCATCCCCGTGTTGCCGCTAGTTAATCAATTTATTTCTTTTTAGGAGTAATTCAAAGATATTAGTGTTTTCCTCTACTTATTGACGCTATTCATTTGTTTGAACATTTCTTTATGGAACAATTTGTTGATGTTTGCGATTAATTTAATTCTTAGCTCTTAAGTAAGAATTATGAACTCGGTGGCAAAGCGATATGGACACCTGCCAATCATGCACATCGTCTGGGGTTCGATCCTCGGCCGACGCACAACGGATATCAATGGTTGGTCTGCTAAATTTAGGCTACCAATATCGTCTGCTGAAAATTCCATAGTTGTACCAAAATACGGCGTGGAATCAAGCTGTAATAAAAGTTATAAAACAAAAAAGTGTGCTTTTGAAAACACAAAGTTCAGACCATCGGGATGCTGATGGCTTTACCCACCCAGGGGAAATCTACCTACTCAAATGACCTGTAAGACTTCTTATCATATGAGTGCCAGACAGAAAAAGAGCGTGTCACAAACTGGTACGCTTTGTCATACAACTTAACGGTTTAATGTTTTTTATAAAGACAGGAAATTGGACGGTGTAAGATTTTTCACTCCACTCGTTCTTGTTAAATCACTCAGGTATGACGAAGTGAGTATCTAAGCAATGCGAAGGTTAGATATGGACGTGTGACGTACACAAATTTATAGTTCGTCTAAATGCTTATTCATCTGAAGCACAGCTAAAAGCGTTAATCTGAAGAAGGTAGCTTCGTTATATGAAGTATGTAATATAGTGAGTGGTCTGATTCGTTGTTCCACAAGAACTGCAAGACAGCTGAAGGAAATGTTTATTGATTCTAGGTGACATAAATGGTAACAGACTACAATAATGGTGTTTTAATCTTTAGGATTCCATACCCCAGTGGTATAATAGGGTGAGCAATATTGGGGTTAGGCGTCGAGTGCTAGGTAAGGAGGGGAAATAATTCGACGAGGCTGTGAAGCTACATTGACTGAGATGGTTTAGGACATATATTACATATGCCTAGCCATCTATCGCCTTCATCGACAGTAGGCAATGTTAGCTGACATAGGGTCAGGCTGGGAAAGAGCTAGCTATGATCAAACCAAAACATGGCTTCATCAGTCAATGAAATCCACAACTGTTAGTTTAAGCCAGCCACGTAGGAAGGTGTAGACTTCCTGGTTGGGGTCTTCGGGACGATAAAAACCAATGGCTGGAGACAATCGGTGATATGGCTCGAAATTGTTCTCAATAGATGGCGCAGATACATCCACTCCTTGTGACTTTTGATTTCCAATGAAACTGTTTTGTTCTGCGTTATTACTATTCCTTTGTCTCACACCTCTGTTAACTGTCTCTCTTATGAATTTCTTCTACTTGCTTTGTGTGCTACAAGGAGTGGAGTGTGGCGACTTGAACTGCTGCACATCGGTGCAAAGTTCTATGTTGAAAACGGACAGACAGACCCAAGTGACTAAAAATATCCAATAAAACAACAACCAATAACTGTATGGATTCTTGTAATGTCCTATACTACCCGTCCTATGTAGCTTCCTTCCTATTTCGGTTAGTTCTTGGTGTTACAATAAATACTTGGTAGACATTGATTGGACACTAGTTAGTAACTATTGTAGTGTGTCTAGTCCTTTGTTTGGTGCAGACTGATGATAGTTAGCAACTAGTTTCCAATCATGGTATCCAATACAGTCCTATAGGGAGTCAATCACGAAACCTAGGTGGAAGGCCTTCCTTCCGATTACCTCCAACCATCTAATATCACTAATTCAAAGTGGGTAGACATGCATGGCATATGATCCGATCGCGTCTTGGTGATGAATGTCGGCTTTCCTATCAACTGACTTACCTTCACTTCACTAATACTTCCCCCCTCCTTGTTTATTTCCCAGTCTCTTCTAAAATATATTCTTGTATAATATGATGCAAATGAAATCGTTATTATGCTGTTAATTTTAATCGATACTTCTGTTGACCACTAGAAGTTTTAGCCGACTATAAAATGTTCTTTTAAGCAAAATGTTCTTCTTTCGAACACATTTCTATGTTGATTCATTTCTTTGTTTTCAACAGAATGAATGATGCATCATCAGCAAAGTATCCTAGACAGTCGACAACAAGTAACAGTAATGCATCGAACACTTCAAGTTTCAGTAGGATATGGCCAATAGGCTCTAGTCTAAGTCAACAACAAAACCAAAGTGACAAGGAATCTCCAAATACTACTACTACAGCCAATACAAACTCTCCACCTCAGAATCCCGCTAATATAACCCCTGTTAATTCTCCTCTTACTACTAATTCAGTCGATATTCTTGCTATGCATATATGTGCATTGAATTGGTCAACTAAAGAAGTTGCCAATACACCGAATACTTATATCAATAATATTAATACTTACATATTCTATCCATTTTCATTAACAATACAAAATATATCACAGAAATTTAATCTACAAAATCATATAATGATTATTGTCATTTGGAATGCATTACTGGCTTGTCTAGCTACTCAGCTCCTAGAAGCATTTGGACGTGTACAACAATGCTCTGATGAAGGACGTGGACAAATGTTATTAGATGTACAAACATTAGCCGTATACGCTCAATCGGCTAGTAAAATACGGTATGCTATTTAATGTTGTTTAAAAAATATGAAGTATAATATTTACTAAATTAATCACTATGGTAACGTATATTTGAAGTGGAGGTTCCTTTGGTCTATTTATTGCTTATTTATTATTCTCCCTTGGGTTCTGAGTGGGACATAAATCTTCAACAACACATTTCCGCTTTGTTCTATTTTCTGATGTACTCTACAGCTGGTTCCACAATCGCCCATAGTCTTTCCTCCTCTCCAATTCGCACGATCTCCTACATGACACCCTCACACCGGCGACCCACTCGTCGCTTATCATTGTGATTCCACTCGAGTAATGGCCTGGCGTGCAATGTCATCCGATGCCTCCTCAGCGTATACCCAATCCATCTCCATTGTTGAGCGATCGGCTTTTGTTTGGTTTGTTCCCAGCCAGAGTTTCTTGTTGCCAATTATTTTATACTCGGTATGGAGAGAAGTGCGTCGGTGGTAAAGCGGTTAGGATGCTCGCCGACCATGCACATGTTCCCGGGTTCGATCCCCGGATGACACACTCCTTTACCTCGCTAAGCCAGAAATAATGCTGGTAAAGAGGAAAGGTTGGGCATGAGGCTAGCAACTCCATCGTGTAAAAATAAACACTGCTGCAGAAACTTCAAGCCACTAGCTTGAAGCTCTATGTTCCACTGGGAATGTGAAGGAAAAAAAGTTCTCATACAAAAAAAATGAAGAGAAGATAGCCATTGATAAAAGTCTGTAACCTGTTGGAAATGCTTTTCGTGACACGCCAAGTTTCTGATCTGTATAGAAGAACTGACCGACTTCACATTGGTGCTGAACATCCGAATCTCGTTGTTTATGCTGATTGCATAAAATCGCCAAACTGATTTCAGAGTGAAGGCGTCGTATCTTGCCTTTCCGATTCTGGCCTGCTTTGATATCTCAATCCATACCAGGTACCTATGGTTGATACCGTGCTTCCTAGCCAGATAAGTGAAGGAAGTAACCTCTGTCAAATGTCTCCCGTTGGTGGTGATTAGTGCTGGTTGTTTTTGTTGCTGCTGTTGTTTGGTTATCTTCATCACCTCCGTCTTCTATATGCTCACCTGGAGCCCTGTCTTCGCTGCTTCTTCAGCCAGTTTGTTGGTTTTCGCCTGCCTGCGACACTAAACATAAATCATCTACACGCGAAATCCAGATCTTCTTATCGATCCAGTGTAGTCTTGTCTCCTCGCTTCCAACAGTCTGATGCATAATCCAGCCCACCACAATTAAGAATATCATCGGTGATAATAGACAGACAGCCGTGTCTTACTCCTGTATTCACTTCAAAGGTTTCGCTGAGTCTTCTGTTATGGATCATCAGACACGTGGCATTGTCATATAGCTGTCGGATGGGGGTTGATAAACACTTGGGCACTGTACGCCGTAGTGTTCAAGCAGTTTCCAAATTACTTCTCGGTCAACGCTGTCAAAGGCCTTCTCGAAGTCCATAAAGTTGAGGGACGGGTTTGGCTGCTATTCTATGCCTTTGTTCGATGATGATGCGTAGGACTGCAATTTGATCAGCACATGATTTGCCTTTCCTGAATCCAGCTTGTTCCCGAGGTGGGTGGAGTCCTGTATCCAGTGCATCTTTTATTCTCTCCAGGATGATGCGACTTAGAATTTTACTCGGCGTGGACAAGAACATGATTTCACGCCCTTTTTTGGCAGCTTGACGAGGTAGCCTCTCTTGCAATAATGGCGTCAGGTTCCACTGGTCAAGGTATTCGATATCCAAACACTAGTTTGCGGATTCCAGTCTCTGCTGTACCTAGAGAGGTTTACGCAGTTAGCCATCACACGTTAAGTGTAACCAACTGTGTCTTACTGTAGGTGGTTGAGCTTGTTGAGACTAGAACAAAAACAAAACTAGCACTCCTACTACCTGTTGACATTACGTTCACCGGAATTCCCATTAAAATTCACAGATTTTATTTCCAATTAACCCTACCAATGGATAAAGTGAGTTACTGTTACTGATAATTCGTAAATGAGGTATTTTTACTGCAACGCAAATCCGGGAAACAACCGTTGCGCTACAACACATTGACTTGAATGATCACACAATGGACAAACGAGTTGACGGCATATAATCGATATGTGATTATGAACAATATATTGTGTTCGAAACGTCATCCAGTAAATAATACTGCTTCAACTCTATTTTTGTCCCTAACGCATTTAATCATTGTTAATAACATTTTAGTAATGTTATGTACTCGTCGCTAAGTTATTGTTATGGACTGGTCGAGAAACTAATAGTCCTGACGCGAGAAGGCGGAAATCAGAAGACCACTAGGTTTGCGATGATACTTCTATTGTCCAAACACAAGGAGACGAAAATAAATGGTCTCACACCAAAGTGATAAGTAAGTAAAGTAGTTAAGTAGTCCACACAAATTGTGAATGCGAATATATATAAATGTTCCAGACAAAGCGTGGGAAAAATCATTAGACAGTCTTAACATGAATGGCTAATTATAATGGAGTGTCGATCCAAATATACATAGCGAATATAGCAGACATGTGAACAACCATATATGGACATATGTCACCAAGCAACGGACTGTCAACAAACACTCATATTATATATAATATAATATAAGGAGAATACACATTAATAAAGGAGACAAGTTCACACAAGTGAAGTGGTCACAGACTAACCGAGCAAACAGAAAGAGAGACCAACATACACACACACATAAATATATATGTGGATACATATCAAGTAACTTGGCTGTTTAATGCAGACCATAAGGATTAGCACAATACACTAGATGGTAGTTACATCTGTTGTATGATGTACTTAACCAAGTGAGCATAGAGAAGACATAGGTGATGAAGACACCGAACTAACAACAGCAAGCGACAATCATCACTCACTATCAACAGGAGACATTTGAAGGAGGTCTCCTGTTTCACACAATCTACGCAGTATCGTTACAACAATTACAGGCACCACGGATGGTAATGTCAAAGACAGCCAAGATAGACCTTCATTAATCTGAAATCGGTGTAAAAACCTGCTGCACACACAGCATGAGGAACAAGATTGGGATTTGCAATACTAATGTCAATTCAGGACTGCTCTATGGTACGAACACTTGACGTGTCACCAAAGACATTTCCGGTAGGCTGCAGACTTTCGCCAATAGTTATGTTCAGTCTGTGCTGAAGACCAGATAGCCGGTCAGAAAAGATTAGCAACAAGAGACTCTGACAAGCAGCAAAACCGACCAAGAACCTATTGCCGAGAAAATATACTGAAGGAAATGGAGATATAGACACATGTTGAGATCGTTGAGTGACATCGTGCTCTAGGCCCACAAGTGGAACGACGTGTCCAAGGGTGACACAAAGGAAATCGTGTGGGGAGATGAAAACTTATGGCCGATTGTGGAGCCAGCTGAAATGGACAACAGAGAACAGGATGAAATAGACATGAGCTGTTCCACTTGAAAACCAAATGAATAATAAGATATTAAGTCAAATTTCCGAATTTAGAGCACTTAAAGAGAGATTTGGAATGGTAACACAATTATGAAGGGTTCCTTCGTTATGCGGCTTGTTGGCTGAAGCATCCAACTCTCAGTCGGTGCATCCTAGTTTCCAACCCTACTCTGTCTAATTTTTTGGTACAAACAACTGAGTAGCGCCAACTAAACGTCTTCACACAACTCCTGTCTTATGCTCAGCTCTACCTTTCACTTCCCTTCAAGAAATGTGCTTCACTAACGATCACGTCGAGTAGATTCATTTCAACTTACTGCAAAAAATATTCTCATTGTCTAAATTATAGAGCTGCAGCCGGAGAATACAATTATGCAATATTTTAGTAAGACTGTCATAATATGCAACCATATGAAGATTTCCAGTACTTTTTAGCATCCTAACAACTAGAGACTATATTTCTTCTGTCAGGAAAAATCTGTCTGTTCTCGACATAGAACTTTCCACATATGTGCGGCAGTTCAAGTCACCACACTCCATGTAGCACACGAAGCAAGAAGAAAGTACAAGAAAAGCATAATAGAGACAGTAAACAGAGGTGTGAGACAAAGGAAGAGTAATAACGAAGAACAAAACAGTTTCATTGGAGATCATACGTCACAAGGAGGGGATGCATCTGCGCCACTGAGAACGATTTTGAGCCATGTCACCAATTGTTTCCAACCATTGGTTTTTACCGTCCCGAGGACCCCAACCAGTTAGGAAGTCTACACCTTTCTACGTGGCTTAAACTAACTGTTGTAGTATGCAGGAAAAATCTAATGCTTGTATTCATTGTAACTACTATAATCAATTAAATATCAGGTGGGAAGATCGTTATACTTAGCTAGCTACTTATTTAAGTGAACCAGGGTTCGAATTCACAACTCAAAACTGTACTTATTGTGATGCTAACTAACACATTATTTTTCCAGTTCATTTCCTAGATTGGATCATGTTATTGAATATATTCAAGCCTTCTATATACCTGTACACGAATGGGAACACTGGTTAACAAATTGTGGGACTAAGTATTCACGTGCCCAACTCACTGGACTTGCATCATGTTTATCACGATCTGATAAACGCCAATATCAACGTCTTTTAAACACGATCAATCAAATTTATAATAATAATAGTAACAATAATAATAATAATAATACAACAAATCAAGCAACACATTCATCCTTCTCAAATAATTTACTTGCCAATACAGCCAGCTAGTAGTGTGAAACAAATTACATTCACATAAAATTTCCATAAAATGCTTTATTTTTTAAATGTGTATGTATATATATATATTTATTTATTAAATACGTATATATCTTGTGAGGTGGTTTTTGTTTTTTCTTATTTGCACATGCTGTAAATACATCCATCCTTGAGTCAAAGAAGAAGAAGGGAAAATGGAATACCGATCCTAGAAAAAAATAAAGATATACAACATTTGATAATACAAAAAGTGTGTGAAGACACCTCCCCACACTAGAGAAAGAAATTTCGACTGTACACAAGAAATTGAATAGCTATCTATCAATCTATCTAACTATTGAAAAAAAATCAACTATTAGATGATGAGGCTTGAAATTTCATCATTTCAGCACGAAATGCGGAAGGATTAGACCATAGTTGAGCCGCTTGACCATTTAACGGGCTGTCGTTATTAGGCTCTGTAAAATAGCATAGAAAGAAACAAGTGCTTTAGTATGCAGGCAGTCACAATGTAATACACATAAAAAACTGAAACAATAAGTAAATGTCCCAATACGCAATTGCAGTTACATTTTAGAACTCTGGCTTTACTCAAGGTTATATGTGTAGCATATTATATTACGTTAAGCGAGATCAACTTAGACTGGAAAACGATCCTAAGTTCAATTTAAAGAAACATGAAAAATATTGGACCTCGGAAACTAACCACAGACGTAATTATTACAGAATGAAAATCTTAATTATTAGATAGTTGGAGGCAATCGGCAGGAAGCCCTGGACCAAGGTTTCGTGCTAGTTGGCACTCGTCAGCAAGGCGTATCTGCAACCTAGAAGGAACTCAAGTCCTATATGATATATACCTGACATGCATAAGTCAGCAGGGCGTATAGTATGGAAAAAAAATAATAAAATCGAAATTCCTAAGGGCCGTAAAAACAACAGCATGCTCTGTTGTAATTCCATTAAGAAGCCATCATTACACACATAGGGTGAGAGTCTTAACATAGGCGAGAGCCTATCCACCAATATTTATGTGTATCTGCGGCACTATAACTCATTCATTTTCTAACCACTCTGGTTATATCATGCATCCCATTCAAGCAACCCACGATACCTAGTAGAACAAAAAATAGATTGCTCAGTTGACGTCCTACCCGGTCATTTTTTATTTATTTAAAATACAAACTTGATAAGCGCTAAAAGAAATTATGAAACAATAATATGTACGGAAGACAAGTGAATAACTTAGGTTACAATAGAATCAAACAGGTGAGCATTATCACTAATTACATCCAAAGCAGCCAAGCTTATTTCATATTACTACCAAAAGCACAAGGAACAAGGAAACTGTAAGCTGTTTACTACTGACTTCGATCCTAAGCGGGATCTACTGAAATCTCGAGTTTGTCTGTCTGTCTATTTTCGACATAGAACTTTTCACATATGTGCGGCAGTTTAAGTCACCACACTCCATGTAGCACATGAAGCAAGAAGAAATGCATAATAGAGACAGTAAACACAAATGTGAAACAAAGAAATAGTAATAACGAAGAACAAAACAGTTTCATTGGAAATCATACGTCACAAGGAGGGGATGCATCTGCGCCACTGAGAACGATTTTGAGCCATGTCACCAATTGTTTCCAACCATTGGTTTTTACCGTCCCGAGGACCCCAACCAGTCAGGAAGTCTACACCTTTCTACGAGACTTAGACTAACTGTTGTGGATTTCATTGACTGCTGCCATGTTTTGGTTTGACCGCCACTATCTCTTTTCCAGCCTGACCCTATATTATCTAACATTGCTCGTCGAGGAAGGCGATGACTAGGCATATGCAACACATGCCCTAACCATCTCAGTCTATGTAACTTCACAGCCTCGTCTACTGATTTCCTCTCCTTACCTAGCACTTGACTGAGGCCTCACCTCAATATTGCTCACCTTATTATGCCACTTCACACGGGAGATAGAGCGCAGGCATCTATGAACAAAGACAGCTAATTTTTTCATGTCTTCCACTCTCAGTGGTCAGGTCTCACAGCCAGTCATGACGGAGGACGGAACGGAATGATGAGCATTATTACACCCGCCCTTTGGTCGATAGTCGAACATCTCGTCTACGCCAGAGTCGGCGTAAACTGGCAAATGCGAAACTAGCCCTCTGTATCCGTGCTGAGATTTCGTCACGGATCAAATCGTTGGGGCTGATGGTACTTCCCAAATAAGTGAAGCGGTCAACGTGCTCTACCACTTCACTTCCTATTTTTAAACTAGGCGTCGATGTAGTCCAGTCCTGTAACATCATCTTGCATTTAGCGGGAGCGAATCGCATGCCAAACATTCGTAGATTGCGGCTCAAGGTGTTTAGAAGACTCTGCATTTCGTCAGCGTCTTCGCCTAGAAGGACTATATCGTCTGCATATTCCAAGTCAACGAGATTATTCCCCGGTAGCAAGTCAATTCCTGAGTCGCTGAAGTCACTTAGGGTTAAGTCCATTAGTACATCTATGATGAAGTTGAATAGAAAAGGGGATAATGGGCATCCTTGACGGACGCCACTAGTCGTCACCACTTCAGATGACAACTCGCCGTAAGCCCTCACCTGACAGTATGAGTACGAGTAGAGTGCCTTAATCAGTGCAATGTATTTTCTCGGGATTCCCTTTACAGCCAAGCATCTCCAGAGAACTTCTCGATCGACAGAATCTTGAGTCACTGAGTCGTATGATTTGTCGGCCACTCCAGGGAGCTGTAACGTATTCACACGTACTAACCCAAGACAGTCATCCTTAGTCTCACAGCACCACATAATAATGAACTGATCTCCTCTTCATCTATTCCGGTTATTCCTAGTGTCAATAAACACTAGGAAGCGTGGGAGAGGCTGAAATGAAAGTCACAGCACGACGCTAAGGCTACTAAAGGTAGTATTCTCAAGTAAAATTATTTAGTGGAAGACAACCTCGATCCTGCTCAAATACGTGTCATCGGACCTCAATTACTTACGCGATGCAAGTAAACCCACGATGAAAACAACGACTACATACACGTAAGCAGAACACCATTGGCTGCACGCATAGAAGCGCTGCAAAACCCGACTTTGGACAGACTATCAGGTGATCGAAATTGGTGTATGACACTTTGGTTTTCCAAAAAAATTAGAAATTTTATCCATCATAACCTCACTATTCATAACAGAACTCTTTAACTGCTTTTAGCCTTTCACCTACTAGAGTTAGGGCACAGGTTCTTAAAAAATTGGCACGTAAACAGTGCAGAGTGCAAGGCATACAGCGGCCGTCAACCTATGAAGTACAATTTCGTTAGTTCGCATGTTATGAAACAGTAAAACAATACCGTCTATATATTTAAGGTGGAGTTGCTCTTCAGGTACGGAACCACACCCCGACACATCTTTTAAAGGTATCTCTGGAATATCAATCACAAAAGTCCGACAAGAACGGCGGAAATGAATAACCCCACCACTGATTGAGAGCCATGATGATAAGTAATTGAACGCTGTCACTCTAATTCAGCTTTTTATGAAGAGGGCTTTCAGAATCTTTTTAGAGACACCGTTCCTCATCCAAAAACACGATCCCAAAAAGCACTTCTGTCCAACAGTCCAAGATAACTTTGATATTAAGGAACACACTGGCTGCCAGTCTGATATTCTTGAATACATTCCTAATGTGTTGATATCGGACTTTACGACAACAAGGAATGCATATCTAGCATGTCTCTAGATGGAAAATAATCCATAACATTTAAGTGGAACTATATTTCGGACTTTGCCATTTTTGAGATTGAAATTTTTCCACATCAGGGGAATGATACAGTCTCCAAGCTCTCCTTCATATCCACCTCCAAAGGCTGTTTAACAAACATAAAGTAAGACGAAGTGAGTACCATGAAACATACTTTACTTTTATTTGAGGAATTTCACTACTGCCAAGTAAATATACTTGTGTCAAGGTTTCGTTAGTCACAGACCATACAGAACTCTTGCAACTTATCAGCTATGTGTAACAGTCAACTGTCTGTCTGTTTTCGACATAGAACTCTGCACAAATGTGCGGAAGTTCAAGTCGCCACATTCCGTGTAGCACGCGAAGCAAGAGAAGAAAGTACAAGAAAAGCATAATAGAAACAGTGAGCAGAGGTGTGAGACAAAGGAGTTATAACGAAGAACAAAACAGTTTCATTGAAGATCATAAGTCACAGGGAGTAGATGCATCTGCGCTTGCCACTGAGAACGATTTTGAGCCATGTCACCAATTGTTTCCAACCATAGATTTTTACCGTCCCGAGGACCCCAGCCTGGAAGTCTACACCTTTCTACGTGGCTTAGACCAACTGTTGTGGATTTCATTGACTGATGCCAAGTTTTTGTTTGACCGCCGCTAGCTTTTTTCCAGCCTGACCCTATATCCGCTAACATAGCTCGTCGAGGGAGGCGATGGCTTGGCATACGTAACACATGTCCTAACCATCTCAGTCTTTGTAGCTTCACGACTTCGTCGATTGATTTCTCCTGTTTACCTAGAACTCTACGCCTAACCTGTCTGTCTGTCTGGATTCAACATAGAACTTGGCACCGAAGTGCAGCAGTTCGAGTTGCCACGTTCCAATAGCACACAAGGTAGACAAGATGATGAGTGAAGAGAATCAATAGAGTTTGACAAATATAAGAGTGAAACAGAGTGGGTAATTGTAGAAAGGAATATGAAAGATTACAGAGACTGAATACATCTGCGCCATTGACAACGATTTTGAGCCATGTCACCTACTGTCTCCAGCCATTGATTCCTAGAGTCCCGAGGGCCCCAACCCGGGAGTCTGCATCTCCCTACCTGACTCAGTTTAACTGTCAAGGATTTCATGGATTGATGCCATGCTTTTGTTTGGCCACCACTGGCTCTTTTCCAACCTGAACCTATATCAGCTAGCAAAGCCCGTCGGGGGAGGCGGTGGTTAGGCATGCGCAGCACGTGACCTAGCCATCTTAGTCTATGTAACTTTATAGCCTCGTCGATTGATTTTCCCTCTTTGCCCAACACTCTACGCCTAACGTCAACATTACTTATCTTGTGAAACCACCTAACGTGAGACAGAGATCGCAGACATCTATGATCGAAAGCAGTCAACCTTTTCATGTCTTCAACTCGTATTGGCCATGTTTCAGAGCCATAGAGAAGGACGGAGCGAACTGATGAGCAGTACACACGTCCCTTGGTTGATAACCGGATGTCACGCCTACGCCAGAGATGGTGTAAGTCAGCAAAAGCAGCTCGAGCTTTTCGGATCCGTGCTGAGATTTCATCGCCAATCAGTCCGTTGGTGCTAATACAACTTCCCAAGTAGGTGAAGTGGTCAACATGTTCTATCACTTCACTACCTATCACTAAGTTAGGGATTGACGGGGTCCAGTCCATGTTGCTCACCTTATTATGCCA